AGCTAGCATGAGTATAGTGAGCAAATTTTATGACTGCTCTTTATCCAATTGGTCTTGATGAAACAACCTTTATTAATCATCATTTATTATACCATAACATCTTGAGGTTAATCAACTGCTGCTATTACTCTGGCAGCTAATTTTATGTGCTACCAGGTTTCCTCTAAATTCAGAATATATGCACCATTATCACTTCTGTGTGATACATATCTCTTCATATCGAAATGGAGTTGTTTTGTACCAATGTGACACTAGAAGAAATCATTTACAAAACATTTTTACTTATGAAGCAATCAATCTCTTGATGTCTTATTCTTTTCTGCTCATCCAATTAAATATAAATATCTATTTTTTTAAATATTTTACAAATCTCAATTATTTCTTAATCAATTATTATCTAATAGCTTTTACCCTATACCAATTCATAGTATCAACTTTTTATACTCTAAATAATACATACATAATTTAACCAAAAAAATAATCAATGACTTTTCTTCTTATAATTTTAAGAAAATTTAAATCAAATTAAAAAAAAATTTAATTTTTTTCATTCCTTTTAATTGGCTCTCTCATTTTTCACTTCCTACTATATATATAGATCCTATCCATCTTAACAATCTAAAATGCATTTTTTAATCTTCAATTAATTTCTATTTGCATATTGTAGTATTTAAAATAAAATTATTTGCAAAATATTGATAATTTATTCGATTATAAAGTTTATATATAAAAGTTGATAACCAATTTACCTTTATTAAATTAAGCTAAATTCATGGAGATTAAATGCTCAATTTAATTAAAAATCACATTTCGCAAATAATGAGATTTTAACTAATTTACAATTAAAAAAAAAATGAAAATATTTTATCGATTATTTTTTATTGAATAATTTCATATTAAAAGGACCACTGATAGTGACAACAATTTAAAAAATTCAATTCCATACATTAATTCTTCATAATATGCATAATTTGGGTTTTTTACAAAGGAATTACATTATTAACATTTTGAAGTAGAGCTTTACCAAGTATAATGTAGCATTCCATACTTAATACAATCTAATAATTGAAGTTTTTCAATTTCTTCATTTTCAAGTTCTTTGCAAGAACCATTAGACCATTAGCATGGAATAGCTTATAAAGATGGTATATCAAGTGTCATATAGCGACAATCCTCTTCTTTAGTTATTTATTTACACTCTTTAGGAATGCAAGAATTTGATTTTGTATCATAGTAACACATTGCATTGCATGCAACTAATCTATCTTCATAATCTGAACAAGAGGAACTCAAAACACGATATTCCTTGCATTCTTATTTATCATTCGGAGTGCAAGCATTACCGTTTCCATCTGTTGCTGCACATTTTTCTGTACTTCTGGATGAACATTCTAAATTATCAATTTTTGAACCACATTTTCCTTAATCTATAGAACATTATAGAGGATTGCAATTATTATCTTATGTACAATCTTGTGGCTTGCATTTGTCATCTTACCACATACAGTTCATTCCAAAAATAAAAGAAAAACATGAATCCATTGTCATCTCACTACATTAATAAGTATGATCTTCACAAATTTTGGCAGAATCATTCCATTTACATTTAAAATATGTTAAAAGGGGTTCCGAACAAAAGTATTCTTCCTTGTATTTGCACTCTAAATCTACACAAGAAGACCCATTCCAAGAACAGTAGAACACGCCAGTACAGGATAACTTATCATATTCATTACAAGCGCACATCTCAGTTATATCAAACTTTACACAACCATAAAGGGCTAATAATAAGAATAATATAATGATCTTCATCTATTTCTATTAATTACTAAAATTTGAATTATATTGAATTTGATAAATAGCAAAAATAGTGCGTAATTAAAATTTTAAAAATTATTCTACTTCGAGTATTCTGATCAATTCCAAAAAAATTGTTTAATAAATAAAAATAGATTTTTATTCTACTATTAATTTATAAAATATAAAGATAAGAATGTAGGTCTAATGAATTAAAATTTAAATTTTAGTAAATTTAATTAATTATATAATTAGTTAATGATAGATTTTTTGATTTATAAATTAATAATTATGACTTAAAATTTAATTTTAATATTAAAAAATATCAAACATTTTTAGAAAATGATTAATGCAAATAATGATTAGTATTTCTAAAGCTATAAGAATTTTGATCCTCATTATCTGAGCTACTTGATAAATTAGGCCCAAATATTATTTCATATTGAGCATCATAAATATTGGTTCTTTTATCTGGACACATGAGATATAGATTTAAATAAATGCTTAATAAAATCACCTAAATATTTATACCTAAATTACCTTGATGCCAAGTAATATGTATGAAATGATTACTTCATACATTTAGAAGGTGTGTTCTAATTTAAAAAATAAAACACTGTTAGTTGTCCAAGGATTAGTAAAAATGATAAACCAAACAATATCTAAAATAATTGTCACAATTATCATAGCTGAAATAATTTTAAAGTGTAATAAAGATTGTAACTTATTATTATTCATATAATAAAATAAGCTATAAAATAATACTATTAACTATTATTAAAGTAGTATTTTACATCTATAAATTGGGTTTTAAATAGATTAGCAATTAAGACTATAATGAAATAAAGTAATGTAAAAGCTAATGCTAATTTAACCCAAAGTTATGCTTATGAAGTATCATAAAAATGAAAATCATGCATTTATTGTACAGTTGATTATTCAGTTACAATAAATTTATCATTTGGTTCGTTTTGATGTTTTTCATCAAAAGGATAAAAGAGTTACAGGATATCACTTTTATATTCATTGATATCTTAAGATAGATCATCAATAACCTATTGATTTTCTTTAATAGATTCTTTGAAATATTTAGTCTAAAATAAGATATTATGGTACTTATGAATGAATCCATTGAACTCTTAAATTGATAGTGGAATAGAGAACAACTCCATACTTATCCTTTAATTATAATTAAATATCATGAGGTTTTTAATCATAAAACTCTTATAAATTTAATTTTGCTTATCCACCAATTTCTTATTTTTCTATTAATTCTTCATCTAATATAACAATATAGATATCCTCTTCTCCAGTAATAATATTAAATTCAAATTTTTCATTCCATACAGGTTTTTATCTATTTGCTGGTTTGGTCGAATATTTGGTATCTTCACAACCTAAAATGATTGCCACTCTAGTATTTCCAGGGAATGAAATTTATGCATCAAAAATAGTAATTCTAATTTTACTTCCTTTACATATTTTATGAGAATTATATTCTTCCATAGTTTATAATTGTTATAAATGTAATTGATCTTCATCTAATTTTAATTATTTTTATGCAACTTGCTATTCTAAAATGGATATTTTATTTTTTAATGATTACAGTGCTTCCATTAAAATTGAAATGAAATCGTTAATAGTAATTTATCCGTTGTCAATCTTATGCATTCTTGTATAAAGTTATTCAAATAAAACTCTGTCATACATTTTATTTGATTGTTAATCCAAAAATCTAACAATACTTTCTTTGCTTATAGGTTATTAATGATTTTAGGATAGCTTATTAAATACTTGTTAAACTTATTGAATTATTTGAGCTTGATTCATTTAACTGTATTAAAATTATTAATAATTTTAACGAATAATATTAAAAACCTAATGAGACCACAATCTCCTAAGATGCTACAAACACAAACTATAGCAACAACTCGTATTGTTAATTCTCCTCCTAGAGATACACGCTAAGATTCTTCCAGTAGACTAGCTAAAGTTACAACTTGTTAAACAAGACCAAAGGTTACCATTACTACAATACCAAATAAACCAATTATTGAAACAAGAACTGTTGTTCTCTGTAATGATAAAAAGTGTTAAGCACATGTAAATTTTATTTAAATTTCATAAGGAAAATCACATTGAATAATTAACCTAAGAAAATTATAAATTAAATTAACGTATACATGATCTAGAACTCTAAATTGATAAATTTGATGGAGAACAATAAATCTGGATGAGTACAGCTATTGAAATTGAAAGTTTGAGAAAGTTACTTGAAGAAACTTAAAAAAATCATTAAAAAGAAATTTAATCTCTTAATTCGGAACTTTATAATGTTAAATCTCTATGTTAAACTTAAGATGAAAAAATCTAATCACTTAACTCTTAAATTAAAACAAAACAACATTTCGAAGAAGGATATCTAACTCTGACTTAAGAAATTGAAAAATATAAATTTATTAATTAAGATAAAGATGAATAATTATAATAATAAGACGATAGGATTAAAGATTATGAAAAATAACTTTAACTTGGAGAAAATGTAATTGAAGAAAGAAACTCATAAATATAAGTATTGCTCGAAAAAAACTAATAATATTAACTAGAATTTGAAACATCTAACAATGTTATTCACTAATTGAAATAAGAAATTTTACAAAAAGATAATCAAAATCAATAATTATTATCACAGAAAGATTCCTTAATTTCTAATTACAGAGAAAATCTTGATTTATTAGAATAAAAAGTATAGTAAGAATAACATCTTGATGTTCAAAAAAATCTTTAATTAATTAAATTGGAAAATGAAAAAGAAGATTTAAATAAAATTATTGGAAATTTACAATCCTAATTGAAAGATTTTTAAGAGTAAAATAATCAATTAAATCAATAACTTATTTTAAATGATTAACTTAATTTTGAACTCTAAGCTTCTGTTGAAAATCAAACTAAAAGCTTTGAGTTCTAATTGTAAAGTAAATCGAATGAACACGAGTTAAGTAATTAAGAAAAATTATAATTGTAAGAAGAATTATATAAATCCAAATAAGAATCAGAGGATAAGGAGAATTTAATAATTTCTTTAAAAAATGACATTATTGTTCTCACTAATTAAATAACTGGAAAAGATGAAAAAATTGAAATACTTTATTAAGAACTAAATCAACAAGTTGTACAAACAGTTTTGTATAATAATAAATAATTATAAAATTATTTGATTATCAATGAAGAACTAAAAAAAGAATTAAAATAAAGTGTTTCAAGTGCAAAATCAGTTTAAAATGATTTATAAAAAGAAATTGAAAATAGAAATCAATTATTAGAAATGTTAAACTAATCAAAAGTACAAATTTAAGAATTATAAAATATTAAAAGTTCTTTAGAGAATGAATTATTAAATTAGAGATAATAAAATGAAAATTAAAATATAGAAAATGAAAAAGAAACTTTATAATTATCAGATTCAATTAAGTCATTTTAGAAATAAATATCTGAAATTTCAGAAGAAAAAACCCAATTAGAAAATACATTAGTTTAACTTACAAATGAAACTTAAATTGAGATAAAGTAATTATGGGAAACAGTATAATTGTCTAAATAAAATGAAGAAAAACTCAGTGAAGCAAACCAAGAATAATAAGAATAATTATTACTTCAAAGTTTAGAAGTGTAAAGACTTTAAAATGAAAATAAAAATTTAAAAGAGATTTAATAATAACAATCTCAAGAAATAGAGAAATTAAATGAATAATCAACATAAGTATTTGAAAACAAATTATAATTGTAAGTGGAACAAGATAAATAAATTGATTAATTATAAAATAAGATTCAAGAGTTCAGTATTTTATGTGAAAAATTGTAATCAGACTTGAAATTATAAAATGAGGTAAATGAAGAGTTAAATAAAAGAAATTAATTTAATTAAGCTCAGATATCCCATTTACAAGAAGTAGAATCATAATTAAGATATTTAAATGAATAATCTAATCAATAATAAAAAAATTTGTAAAAAGCATTAGAAAATAAAAATGAAACAGAAAATACACTTAAATTTAAACTTGATACTTTATTAGAAGACATTAAAGTTAAATAAATGTAATTATCAGAATTAGACAGATAATTATAAATAGTAGAGCAGACAAGTTAGAGCTAATAAATAAATTTAGAGGATAGAATAAATTATCTTTAGAATGAAGTGGAGATGTGGAAAGAAAAGTTTGTAATTTTAAATAGAGATTATCACAGAGTTTAAGAAGATTTGATGATGGTTTAAGCTGAATATGAAGCAGTTAACAAACGAAGTTTCGAATTAAAGAATATAAAAGTATTTATAATTAAATTATATTTTAGGAATCAGCATGTTTTGAAGTAAGAAAATCTTCACTTTACAAGGAAAATATTGATGTTAAATCCAGTTAAACTTCCATTGGCAAGCTATTCAAAGAGAATTTTTGAATTGAAAATATATACTATAGATAAATAAAATTTATATTAAAATGATATATTATGTAATTTATTATTAAATATTGTTTTCATCCTTATGCTAAAAATTGATCCATTTTCTAGGCATTTGTAAACATTTAATTACTGGCATTCTTTGAGAAAACAGTTTTTGGTTAAGTGGAGCTGAAATTATTGATAATATTACTATAATTCAGCATTTCCAGGCATTTAATAAGCAGGCATCAAGGGATTTGTATATCTTTTACTTACGATACCTTTTTTAAGTGATCCTGTTTAGACTCCTTCAATATCTTAAATATTATTGATTTTTCTATAATCTTTTCTATCATTTGCTCTCAAAAAATGTGAAGAATGAGATCCTGCTTAGGCACCAATTATATCTTAAGTAGTTAAAGTAGTAGATGCAAATTTATTTATTGTTAAAGGATGCAGTTATTTAGTTTTACTGCCCTCAACAAAACCAATTTCAATTTTCTTTCTATATTAAGAATTTTTAATACCCATCTTCATCTCTATGAGAATAGACTGGCTCTATTGGATTTGTATTTCTTATGTATTTATGTAACATATCATTATTAATGTCTTTAACTTGTAAAGAATCGATCCCATCTAAAATGTATTTAGGATAGAATATTTACCTTTTTAAACATGTAATTGTTTTGAATGTGAGCCTTCAATATCAGCTAAAGGGATAGGTTGTTTTTTTAATTTTGGATTAATAATTGATGGTTATGTTCCTTCAATATCTGTAATATTGTAGCTATCTCTAATAAATTTATTATGATAGGGTTCTGTCTATTCAAATGAAGGGATTTTATAAGTTGGTTCAAGTGGATTGATAGGTTATCGATTAGTCTAAAATTTACAGATTTATGGGCGTGTTCCCTTGATATCATCAACCATTAATTAGTTGTCAGATCTGTTTGTATACCTTATTTATGGTCGAGATTTTGTCCCTGGTATATCATCATTTCGATTGCAATATTATTCTTTGTTGACAAATTGATAAGGTTTCAATAAAGGAGCTGCTCCATCTATTCCTTCGATAGACATAGTAGATTAAGCTCTATGATCATAAACAAATTCTCTCTTTTAATTTTCTCACTTAATGAATTACTCATACTTATAGTAGATAAATTCATTAGATCATTTCTATTTGGAAAAGGCCAATTGTAAGGATCAGATTGCATTAAGTTACAAGATAAATATAAAAAATATTATTATAAATACAAACTTAAATATTTATTTTGCTTCATAAACTATTTAAAAGTGATTTTCTGAATCTAGTTTCAAATACTTCTTAAAAAAGATAGAGTTAAGAGAAATCATTAGAGTGAAATGTATCATCAATCCAAAGAATATATGGAAATGGAAGGAATATATGAATAGATCAAATTTATGAATGCAATATAGAATGATTAATCAAAGTCCAATCTTTGATTTAACATATTATTCGAAACTTGGTTAAGTGAGTAAACCTAATGCTTACTTACTGATATCAATTTCTTTATTGTATTCAGATACAGTTCTATTATATAAATCTGTTTCAGCAGCATAGTTATCATTTTCTGCTTGTAATTAAGCAGTAAGAGTAGCTCTATCATCTTTTCTTTATCCAACATAGACAATAGTTTCTCCTAATTTTTCTAAATATAAATTTTAGGATTTTACATTCATTAGCAGCTAATTCAGAGTTCTTGATTAAGACTGCTCTTTAGAATTCAGCAAATTCTTTTTCTAATTAGGCAACTCTTTCAGCAAATTTAGTTTCTGCTGCATTTTCATCTGCTGTCTCTTAGTTGAGTGAATCAACAAATTAAACTCTCAATTCATTGAAGATTTTAACAAGCTATAAAATAATCAGTAAATATTTAAACTTATTAAAGTGATCCTTAATCAGCAAAATTTTATTCTGTTGCTAATTCAAGAAGTGCTCTGATGATTGGGGCAAATGAGGAATGATTTTAGAAGGAGGATTAGATTCTATTAAGATTTGTTTAAACTCTTTTGAATTGAACAAGTGATGGATTTGTAATTTATGATAATAATCCAAGTGATTCATCAACAGCACCAATAGCTTCATTGATTTCAGCAATATTTGATAGAAATTGTTCATGTTATTTCTTTCTATTAACAGTTTCTCCATCAAGAACTCTTCTATTTTCCTCGATATTTGTCTTCAATTATGCTAAAGCAGATTAAAATCTCTCTTTTTAAGGTATAAGAACATTATCAATAAAATCTTAACCATTGAAGATATCTATAAATGTTAAATGATATTTTTATACCTCTATCAGCATCTTAGATTTCTTATTCTAATCTAGTCACATCTCTATTATGTTCATCTGTTCTTCTAGAATAGGCATGATGAATATCATCTAATTCCTCTTCTAATTAATCAATCAATTGATTAATAGCTTCAACTAATTCTGTCAGAGCTCCTCCACTTGATAATTCAACTTCAGCAAAATCTACTATGAATGATGCCCATTAAGATTCCTTTAATTTTTCAAGTGCTTATGTTGTAGCAACATTATTTAGAGATATCTCAACACTCAATACACTCAAGACTAGACAAGCTATTAAAGCACTTTTCATTATTTATTTTATTAAAAATTAAAAACGACTATCATTATTAAAATAATTTATGCAAATTTTATAAATTCTCTCTTGCCTTTGTTTTCAATTAGATATTTTCTTAAATCATCAAATTCAATTCCTCCTGAATTTGTTACAAAGACTATCTTAATTCAACTATTTGTTTATCTTTCTATTTTATTGATATTTCATTTTATTTATCTATCATCAATAATTACTTCTCTATTCCTTAATATTAAACTAATAATTCTCTGATCTTTTCATCTTTCTTTATTAACTCATCTTTTGCATTATTCAACATCTTAATTAATTCTGCAAGTTATCCTTCTTTTTCTTGCATTTCTAATTTTAATCCATTAATCTCCCTATCTTACTTTATTTCTATTTCTTCTATCTCTTTTTCAAACATTGCTATCAATTATTTTTTATCTTTCAAATCCTTATTTTTCTAATCATACTCTTCCTATATTTATTGTAACTAACTTTCCAATTCATCAATTATCTATGTTTATCTATCATATCTTTTCTACAATTTTATATAATCCTCCGAAGCATTTCCCTCTTAATTTCTTAATTAATTTAATTATTGTTTTAATTCATCAATTGTATCGTTTTTATCATCTAACATCTTATTCTTTATTGTCAAATTTGTTTATAATTCATCTACTAATTATTCATTCTATATTTTTTATTTATTTTATGCTCTCAATCTATCATTTTCTTAATTAACTGTCACCAATTCATCATTTTTCAATCTTATTTCTCTATCTAATTATTGTAATTTTGTCTGTGCTTCTAATAATTATTCTTAAAGTATATTAATATCCTTATTCAATCCCGATTAAACTATTTAATGTTCTCTCTTTGCTAAATCTTTTTCTGAACAAAACTCTTGAACTTCTCTCTTTAAACGAATCAAAGCTGATTGCAATTCTTTTATTAAGCTCTCCTATTCTTGAATTCTTGTCTACAAAATTTTGATTTCCTAATTCTATTAAACTTCTATACGACATTTCTCATCTAATTATTACTTTAATTATTTAAATTTTTCCTAATCTACTATTATATTTATACCATATTTTCTTAAAATACATTTCTAAATTCATTTTCTAACTAATCTTACATTAATTTGCTTTCTGTTTCCAAATCCTGTAATTACTATTCATATGAATTTGATTAAATTTATATCTTTTATTCATATTCATGAACTATTTACTATAATTAAATCTAAAGATTTTATTCACTTTCTTTTTAAGAACTTTCAAATTTAACTTCCCATTCTCTACATATTTCCAATAATTCTTAAATTCTCCTTTTTAATTATGAATTATCTTAATATAATGCTCGATTTCTAAGTTAATATCAAATTTATACTCTTAATTAACTTATTCTGATTTTGATTGTAATTGTTCCTATCTCATTAATGTTTAACTAGCTTGCTCTACTGCATTCTTATGAAATTCTTGTAATTGTTTTTCAGCTTCTTTCAATTAAATTTTATATTCTGAGATCTTAAAATCCTTTTCTTAATCTTTTACTTTATTAACATTTTATTGTTCAATTAAGATTTGATTTTCTTTACTTAATTAACCATTTAACTAAAGCAATTCACTTATTTTATTTTATAATTAAGTTATTAATTCATCTTTTCTTTCTTTTTTGTTAACCAAATCTTTTTATTATTACTTATCATATTCGTTTTATTCATTTAAGGATTCTATTTCTCTTCTAAATCTTTTATTTTCTTGATTTAATTCTTAATTGAATTTATTTAAATCAATAATTTCTCTCTCTAAATTAGAACATTTACTGCTCCAATATTTTTCATTACATTCAAATTTATAAATAATTTCCTTATTTTATTATGTTAAGTCCTTCACTTTTTATTATAATTAAATCACTTCTACCCTCATTTCTGCCTCTTTTTCAATATTTGCTTACTATTTTGGTATTTTAAAAGTAACATTATTAGAAGCATCTGCATTATTTTCTTAGAATTCATTTTTAGTTTTATTGTCAACATGAATAATTTAGGGTACATATTTGATGATACATTTATAATATAAATTTATGTTATCGCAAATAGGATTCTTTCTTCTATCACTATTAAAGAACACATCCTATAAATTGAGTCCTTACAAGTATTTAAGTTCATTTAAATCAGCTATGCTATTGCTTCTTAAATCCAATGATTGCAGTTAATAGCCTTATTGTGTGAACTAGAATAAGTTCAATTCTCATACAATTTATAATGGTCCCAATAAGGATATCAAATTATAAGATAAATTAAGAACCCTCAAAGATCGTAAACCTTCACAGTTAATTACTTTGATTCTATTCGATTACAAATTTAAAACTTCAAGTTGATTTAAAGTTTTAAGATTCATAGTCTAGATTGAATTTTATGATAGATTTAATTATTTAAGTTATCTAAATTATTCAATTCCCTAAATAATAAGAAATATTAATACTTGCATTGAAATGAGATCTGGACTATGCATTATTCTTAAACTTAACATTTATATATTATTGAGTTCTCTTATATCTTTAATACTTGAATATTTGATGTTGAACATAGTTTTTTCAGCATTTGGATCAAAATCATCATCGTCTTCCATTTTTTGAAAATTTAATTAAATGTAGTTAGGAAATAATACAATCGAGACAAACGAAGAAATAGAATACTTGTAAAACGATATTTTTCCAACTCTACATACAGCATTAGCTAAATTAGTAGAATACATAGGTAAGACAGAAGAAGTAAATAAACATAAGGAGAGGTTGAAATAAATAAAGGTTTTTGATAAACTTGAAAAGAAAAGAGTGGAAAAAAATCGATTAAAAAAAGAGTTAGGATCAGATTATGGAAGTGATTCAGAAGTATAAGTAGAAAATCAAGAGAATAATTTCATGAACATTTCATAGACTGGATAACAATTAGAATAATTCATTCCTGTCTAAAATGAATTCTAATAGCAATCAGTAAGTTCAATTGATGAATTTGCAATGTAGGATATTAAGAAGGAGATTAATCATTTATTAGTATAGATTTAAGAAGATTAAGAAGAGGAAGAGGCTCCTGAAAAACATGAATTAGAGAAATTAAAACTGTAATTAAAGTTACAAAGAGAAGCAATGGATTTCAATCCCTTAATATATTTGGCATCTATATTAAGGCAATTAGCCAATTGAATTTAATTTAATCTTTTGTTTAAATAAAAAAAAATATATATATATTTTTAAAGGTATAATAATTATTTTGGTTAATATATACGATGATGTAAAATTAAATATCTATATTAATAATCAAATCTTAAAATTAGGGATCTCCTAAATTTCAGAATCACTGTCGGTATCATTTATTTATTTTTATGCTTTAGCATTTACTATATATTTATTCCCCAAATCTACTGAAGAATCTCCAGAATCTTCACTAAAATCTTCTACCTATACTAAAGGTTTAGTTTATTTAAGAATCTATTATTGTTGGACGATAGTTTACTAGTTCGTTTACTATTAATGTTATTTTTATTCAGATACTGGAGTTAATGCTTATTTTATAGGGGATACAGGTGTTGCCTATTTTTCTTGATGAACTTATTACCCAGCTTATTAAACCTATTAATTTGAACAAATATTAGATGTAAATGGATCATAATAGTTTCCTTTTCCGAATAATAGTTTATACAATTATGTCTCTTTGATAGGATCATTTTTATTTGAGTTCATGATATTTTTCATAAATTCTATTTTGGCTAATGTAGATAATAAATTATCAAGGTATTGATGACTCTCATTTTATTAGCTGCTCAAAAACTTCATAACTGCATCACTCATAACTGATCTTGTTAAACTCAAGTAAGTTATTATAGTTATCAATTTTTAAAAGTCATTTCTAATTTGTTCAAATTCTTTAACTCCTTCTTCTCTAATCACTCTTACTATAGCAATCACTGTAGCATCAGAAATTCCTTTGATAATTTAAGAGTTCTTATTTCTATCTCCAGTTATTATACTGTTAAGATGAAGAAAACCTGATTAGAACTGTTTCATGAACTCATTTTTTAATAAAGATGGATCTATCTTTCTTTAATCACTCTTCAACCACATATTAATCATTGGTTATTTGGTACTTATTGCTTTTAAACCAACTAACCAACAAAATTCAGATTCCTTCTAAGTAAATTGCATTATAGATGGATTGTTCATTTTAATATTTTGTGAGCATACAAATGTTAATTTAAATATTTATATATAGTCACAATAGTCATATAATATTTATCTCATTATTCCACTTAACGTAATAAGTCTTATCTTTACTTCTTCAATAATTCATCATATTTTTCACATGCCAACTATTTCATTCTCAATTCTTCTTTTAACTACTTAATCTCATAATCTTTTTTCAAAATTATTCTCTTTACATTTTCTTCTATTTCTTCCAAATTTTATGAGTGTTTAATATCCAATTCTCTCACTACATGAATTCACATACAATTACATGTTTCCTCCAATATTTATTTTTAATTTGCTAACTCTATTTATAATTTATTATTCTATTCAGCAAGTCGATTCTTTTCTCTTTCATGTGATTCCTTTATTCCTTTCAATTCCAATTATTATTCCTCTTTAAATTATGTTAGTTTTTCCTTATATCTAAAATATTATCAAATTATATACAAAAGCATCTCTTCCTTCAATTTTTTTTATTCCTTAAATTATTTCTAATTATCTTATTCTTATTTCTCAATCAATCTTTATAAATCTTAATTAGTCTTCTAAACCGCTTAATATTCACTACCTTCTTTATTTTCTCTTTCTTCCAAAGCCTTAATTTACTTCTTCAATTACTTAATCTCTTCATCCTTACTTCCCTATTAATCTCTTAATTTTTTATCATATTTCATTTAAACATTCTATTCATACTATTATTTCTCTTCTGCTAACTTCTATACAATCTTTTCAATTTTATCATTTCTGTCTTATTCCATCTTTTTTTGAATCTTCTCAATCTATCGATTCATATCTGCTTCTGCTCTTATTGTAAATTATTATTTCCAAGCTTCTTGATCACCTCTTAATGCTTCTTTCACTTCACTTTCCATATTAAAGTACTTTTCTTTATATTCATCTATTTCTTTTTAACAATCATTTTTAATTCTTCTGATTTCTTCAGCTTAAGAATCTGATAGTTATTTCATTCTCTTTACATATGTATCTGCTTCTTCTTTCCTTCTTCTTTCACAATCTTCAATATCCTATTACATTCTTTACTTATATGCATCTCTTTCCTTTGCAAACTATTCCTCATATGTCCTGTATAATTCCTTTTATTTTATTAATTAAGCTTCTCTCTCTTTTTATTGAAGTAATTCATATTCTGCTGCCCACTTCTCTTTAAATATTTACATTTTCATTTCAGATTCTTCAATTACTTATATTTTATGAATTTCTTTTTCTTTCTAACATTTTTCTTCAATTCTTTTGATTTCCAATTTATTCTTTTCAATCATTCTATTTAATTCTGGTTCTAAACCCTTAATTGTTTATTCTTTTAATTCTGCTAATTTCTCCTTTTCCCATTTATCTCTTTTCTATTTTTCTTATATTTACCATTATTCATATTTTTATTTAATTTCTCTTGCAAAATTATTTTTCAATTCTTCCAATTATCTCTTTTATTATTTATCTATTCCTTTTAATTCATTAGTCAATTATTCTACCTAATTATTAAGTTCTTTTTTATCATTAATTAATTAATCTATGAATCCAAGGTGTCTATTAATGACAACTTCTAATTCAGCCTTCTATTCATTTAATCTACGATTAATGGTATCTTTAAAATTCTACTCTGATTCTTTAAATTTAACTTATGATTTTTCTAGCAGCTATTTTAAATTATCAATAGTTTTCTGTTATTCATCTAATTCAATTTTTTATGTTTAGACAATGCCTTATAATTATTAAATTTTTGACTAATATTCATGCTCCTTCTCAATAGCTTCTATACTTCTCTATGGTTGTTATTAAATTTACTAACTAACTTGAGATGAATCAGATTCAACATTTTCCAAAAATTAGTATATATTTTTGATTTTAGTATTAGTATATTATTAAAGCGAATCTTTAGGTTTAACTTATCCAATTTTCTTTTCAATTTTAATTTAAACATTTGCAGATTCATCTTTATTTGTTGTTCCTAATCTTCTTTCTATTTTTTTTTCAACTTTGACTTTAGTAGATTAATCTCTATCCTTTAATTCATCTTTAGTAAGCTCTTCAATTTAACTTAATGACAAATTGATATTATTTAACATATTATAATTATTTTGATTTTATGTATGATGTCTAAATAAATTCTCATTTTAAACGAACCATGTCTAAAGCCTTTGTAATAAGTTCTTTAGGATTATTAACATCACTATTAACGAGTATCTATTTGCCTTCAAGTTTCTTGAAAGCTTCAAGATACTCTTCAGCCAAATTGAATCTAGCAGCTAATTCTCCTTCTTCTGTATTCATAGCACTAGAAATAGCTTCAATTCTTTAAACTGTTGCAGTAGATCTAATAACAATAGATTAAGCTAATCCTTCTGCTTTTAAAATCTTTGATAATCTTTATCCTTCAGCTAAGTTTATTTATGATTGTTATTTTGCTTCAGAATGTAAAATTTAAGTTCGTTTGGTCCTTTCAGCTTCAGCCTCCATATTCATTGCCTTCCTAATATTTTCTGTAACTTTTATATCTTTTATCTCATAACGTAAACACTTCAAACCCCATTCTTAAACTGCTTCAGACAGTCCTGCCAAAATAAGAGCATTCATCTTTTCTCTTTCTTCAAATGTCTAATCAAGTGTCAGTTTACCTATTTCAGCTCTCATTACTGATTAAGCAAGAATCTATTCAAATTAAACACTAATATACTTAAGCATAATCAATTGGTTTTTATGCTCCATATGAACATTTTACTGGATCATCAACTTATATATACAATACACCATCTATCTATATGATTACATTATCTTTTGTAACTGCATTCTATGCATAGATCATGAATGCTTATTCCTAATATTAGTATCATTTTACTTTTAGTGAATGTTCATATGCAATCTCTTCAATAAAAGGAATTTTCCAATTCAAACCAGGTGTTAGAGTTCTTGTGTATTTTCCAAATCTCTACAATACACATACTGTCTAATGAGGTACTGGTACAAAAAATGATCGCAATGCTGCTCCCATTGTATAATTTTTATTGTAATAATTATCTTCAAATAAAATATAAATTTTTTTCATTAATACTTAAGTCCAGGTGCTTTGCCTACTCTACATAATCCACAAATCAAACATATCTCTTAGTAATCAGTCTCATAAACACTACCATCATATGGACAAGATTTGTAACTTGAAATACTTTTAAGACTATTTGCTGAGTATATTGGTTATTCATTCAACCATTATTCTTTGAACTCTATCTAAATTGCATTTGAATTTTATTGTTGAGATGCTTTTTCATACTAAATACTATACTATCTACATATATACTTTCTATGCATTTTATAATACTTCTGGTTTTGAAGTGTTATCATTTTTTAACAATTCAATTAATTTTTTGGCTATCTATTAACAAGTAATAAAATTCTTCTATTTATAACTTATGCTCAAAGCCTACCTTAATGTTAATATTCTATGACCAGGCTATAAATCAATTGTAGCCATTTTACAAGCCATTTCTAAAGCATTGCTATCTTTTTTTAGAAAATCGCAACGCATTGCCAATAAATAATTTTTACTAATATTAATGTATCTTTTTATTTCATCTATTTAATTCTCTTCAAAATCTGTCAATAATAATTTTTTTAAGACTTATTAAAAGCAATTACTCACTTCATTAAATTTAGCATCAGTTGTAAATTTATAACCTAAAAAATAATTTAGTAATTTACCTTATTTAATTAGACTTTTGACTTCATTCAATCTATTGATTTTGACTGGTAATGTTGTGTTATTTAGATAAGGTGTTGAAGCTAAAATTTAAAAATTAGGTAAATCAGCAAGTGATTTAAATAATTGTTAATAATTAGTAAGATTGATTTATTTTTTAAGTAAATTGATGCCAGTTTCATAATCTCCTACAGCAAAGTATTTAAAAGCCACTTCTCCATTTTAATGAACAACTTATCCTCGTAATGCTTGTTCATCAATACTTTTATTAATTGGATCAGTAGTTTTAGATTCTACAATTACTTCTTCTGGTTCTTCATCTAAGCCCCATTATCCATCATTAACTTATTCATCCACTTAAGGTTCTTAAATCACTTATTTTTATTAAGAGAAGATATCAGATGCTACTATAGCTTCATCTGTCACTTCAAGATTAATAATATCTTATTCATTCATTTATATTAGTGGCCATGGATCACTTTTATATTTCATTATTGGTACTGGAGGAATCAAACTTTAACTTCCTCCTAAAGAATTAATCCATTCTATTGTTTCTTTTTAATTATCATCTAATTTTTATGGAATACCATTAAGATGATCCATAATTTATGATAATTTAGGTAAGGAATTTTTAATAGCAATTTTTCTTTATAATTAAGATTGATAAATAAAATTAGGCTAAATGTTTTACAATTTCTCTTGTTTCTCAATGTTACCAGTGCATAAATATAAAAATGACAATCTATCAAATTAACTTAGTTGTTGATCACAAACATCCACTAATAAGTGATTACCTTATCTTAAAGCTTCAGTTCTTAACTATTCGAACAATTAGGAATCTTTAATTTCTACTGCTGCCTTATATGCAAATTCTAAATTGCCACTATCAAGGGAAAGTGAGAATTTAGCTAAATAATTATTAACATATATATACCATGTTTATCTTTGACTAATTTCAAAGCAACAGATGCAAGCTTTTTTTAATATAAATAAGATAGAATAGCTTCATTTTGGTTTTGTTCTATAAATTTATGTATAGAATTTAAGTCTTTATTCATGATGGCTATTTTAAATAAAGGTTCTGAAATATCAAGGATTTCTGAATAATATTTAGAAGTGTTATCAATAGCACTCAATTTAAGTTTATTTTATTATTATTCTTCACCTTTAACTAGATATAAGATATTTTCTGTTGATTTTAGAACACCTGTATCTCCATTTAATAATAAATATTTGATTTGACTTTTGGTTGTATAAATAATAAAATTGTTTATCCAAATAAAAGACTTAATATTAATTTATTCTTAGACATCAATTAATTTCTATAATTATTTAGTAAAGACAGTGAGAGACAATTTACTTTAGACAATTAAGTATGAATCTACATACTATACATATTTGGCATTAGAATAGTCAACAGAATATAAACCAGATTTAGTGAGTGGATCAAATAATTCTAATTATTGAATTATTGAATTTCTTTGGATTAATATTTTACCACCAGGAGCAGGAAATATTTTAGATGATGGTTTATCATCAATAATTTAAATAGAATCTGTTTCATAATTGTAAGATTCAATTTAATGATCAAGATTGATTCTTGCAATTTTATTTTTACCAATAAAACAAGCACAATTAGAAAAGAATTATTTAACTCCAGAATCTCCTTTTTATAGTTAAAATACCATTAACAAATGTCTCTTTGGTTTAGTTGGTTCTTTAAATGATCTGATACATCTAATCATCAATTATGTTTTTTGAGTATCATAAGTATTATATTCGATGAATTCAATATTATCCTCTAGAAAAGTAGGAGTTGGAGTAATCACTGTAGCAATGTCTCTTATGATTTGTTATTATCCACTTACTAATTCAATTACTTTTAGAGTTTTTTATTCAGCCATACAAATATATCTTTCATTAACAAGTAATAGAGGTATTCGATCTTTTTGTAGAGTAAACACTTATAACATAGTATCTGAACCACAAGCAAAATAATAATTATTTTAATGACAGGATACTATCCAATATCTATCAAAATGTTTGTTCTCATATAATCCAATTTGTTTCCGAGTTGCAAAATCCCATATTCTTATAGTGTGATCTTCAGAATCTGAAATGATTACCTCTCCTTTTGGATGAAATTCTGAACAACAAACATTATTAGTATGACCAGATAAAGTATCAAATTCCCAAGCCTTATTATCATTATATTTCCATAATTTAATGTTTTTGTCATCTGCACTAGTTATTATGAATGGCTCTGTTTTATGAAAAGAACACCAGTTTAATTAATCCTTATGTGCATCCATTATTGATATTAGTTATACTTCTGCTCCTGATAGTACATACTCTTAATTCTTTTTTTAAGCATATCTTTATTTAAGTACTCCATAATTCCACAATCTAGCTGTTTAATCTAATGAACATGTGACAATCAAATCTTATGTAGGATGAAAATGACAAGCCATTATGTAATGTGTGTGCCCTGTCAAAATTGCAATTGTTTATCTGCTTTGATAATTCCATACTCTTGCTGTTTGATCATCAGAACCTGATAATACCCAAGGATTTATTGTATGAAATGTCACACATCTCACATAATCTAAATGTCCTTTTAATATGAATTGACATTATTTAAAATTCCATACTCTAACTGTAAAATCATCTCCTCCTGAACAAAATAAGTTTAGCTATGGATGAAACTAAACTGATCGAACTGCACCCTTGTGATCATCATATATGGCTATTCTTTTCTTAATTCTATAATCAATCATTTCAATTATTCCTGAATGTAATGCACTTAACACCCAAGGACGATGAGGATGAAAAGAAACACTTTTCACACGATCTGAATGTCTCTCGAATTTTATGAACATTTTAATTATTTTTACACGTATATCATAATAAGCAATTCTATATCTCATAGCTTATCAATTAGTTCAACAAAAAAAATACAAAAAAACCAACACTTAAACATCCCATAGAGTTTACCTTTATTTGAGTTGAGAATCAACAACAAAATTCAACTTGCCAATAACAAAGATTATAATTCTCTTTCTACTCATTTTTTCACCATTTATTATATATGTTATTTCATTTCCACATATTTTTTAAGCAATTTCAAACCATTCAACTCTGTCATTTATAAAATTACTTTTTTTTATAATCAATCAAATCTCTTATACTTTTTTTATAAATCTTAATATATATTAATAAAATAAATTCAGTATTAGACTGCAGTATGCAAATTTCTGCAGCTTGTTCTTAACTAAATACTTATTTAATTTTTTAATTTAATCGCAGGATTCTTAGGCATTCTATTGTACGAAGATTACATTCCACTCTAAATATTAGAATCATAGATTAATTCTAGTGGTAATCTGGTTACTTATGGAACTGAACTGTATTGAATGTAATTATTTAATTGTATTTATTAGACTCTTTCCTTGCACCATGCACTAATTTATTAAATGATTTCCAGAGATCGAGAATCATTATGTTCTCCATCGACTTTAATTAATTTTTTAATTCCTTTGTGTTATTTATACAATTTTAAACTATTTTTTGCTTTAATAAGGGAATCCTTATCACTACAAATATAAAGAGTAGGCATATTTGAATTGCATTAAACTTAAATATCATTTAATTGAAATCCTGCTTCTTCCTCTATAGTTCCTTTAGTTAAAAAGATGATTGCCTTAATTATAAATTTGGGTAATCGAGTTTATTTCTGAATAATGCTTATGGCTAATTTATTAAAATTTGTGAAACAACTATCTAATACCAATCCCTTTACATTTGGCTATTCTTTTAATTGAATAGTTGTGGCTCCTAAAGATCTGCCCCACAAAATGAATTACTTTTATTGAAATTGTATTTCTAATTCATTTAATATAGAAGTAATATCATCTTTTTCTAAATGACTAATATTTAATTATAAATATTACCCAAAAGTAATGAAATCTCCTTCAGAATGACCACATGCTTAGAAATCAAATGTACAAAAATTAAATCCATATTAAGCAACTATTGAAGCATATTTTATGCCTTCTATTCTACACCCATTGTAACCATGACAATATACTATACAATTAGATGTTTTTGGGTTTAACTCAAAATATGACATTTCTAATTTGGAATTTTAACGATTAGTAATTATTCTTTCATGTTTTCTTAAATAACCTTAATGTAGTTAAATGTATTCAGGACCTAACCATTAAATAAGAAATTAACAACCTAGATCAAAGTAACTATAATTATATCGAGGTGGTCTCACAAATTTCTACCATTCTCTTTATATTGACATTTTTTAATTATATTACTTTTCACTATACTAAACTTCACTAATATATATTAATTAAATATGTCAGAAGAAGAAGAAGAAGAATACTTTAATATTAATGCTGAGCGTCAACCAATATTCTCTAATATTGAAGATAGATAGCAACACAAACAATAGAACAAATAGGTTTTGTTAAATTTAGGCGTTTTTGCTCTTCTTACTGCTATTTCTTCATTGATTTTTATGGGATGGTTATCCAAAAAATCAAGAGAGGATTAAAAACCAAATATCTTGCCATTCCATAATCCTAATGATCGCTCTTAGCTTTTATGTCCACTTAATACATCATTTGACACTAGTTAATTTAATTGTTAGCCATGTTCACTAAATTGTGAATATTGTTATCACGAATATAATTAGAGATGTGTTTAATGTGTACATCCATATAAATTAAAATCAAATTATTGTGTAGAAGATTGTGTATCCATGGATAATGTTTGCATAAATACTACATCAGAATTACTTAATTTATATAATTATTCAATAGTAGATTTAGGTACAGAATTAAGAGTAAATCAATTGTTTTAAGTTGAAATTCACACTCATCTTTTTGAAAATGTATATGTCATATTCCCACCACTTGGTTAATCCTTTAATTTTTTTTATGACCACATAAAATTACCTGAACTGGCTTAATAATTAAATGCTACACTTTTTGTGTTTTCAACTCCATATACTGAAGTTTTATAATTATAAGAAATTTCAGATTCAATGGAAGAAGAGGAATTTAGATATGTTGAAAGGATTCATGAATTTATAATTCCATATCTATCCTAAAATACAAAGACAATCAACATTATAGGTTTAGGAGAGATGTTGTTCTTTGCACATCGTTTATCAACACATATGTATATTAAAATTTGTATTAATATATTTAGAGTTAAAAAATTACCTGAATCAATTGAAGCCAATATAACAGTGATTTTAATGCAAACTTTGTAAATGCCCCTATTTGAAACCCCTAATTTAAGTCTATTAAAGTTATAGCATTTGTTAGCATATATTGATTAGGGTTGGGACATATCACATAAAGAAAATAAAAGCAATCTTATAGCAAATAATGAAGATGATCTTTCTTAATAAATTTAATAGTTTCTGTTGCATACTAGCTTCAACAATTTAGTGAATCCATCTTACAATATGAAAATTAATGTAGTGATTATTTCTGAAAGAGGATGCAACGATATTTAAAGTTTATATTAAGACGGTTTTAATGCCAAGAATTTTTAGTAGATATTTTTAGATGATGATCACTTGGCAACATAATTTGCAAAACTGATAAGTTTGCAATGAGTTTGTAATTATATTAGAAATTTTTTGATTAATTCTGATTGTGTCTTCATATAAATATTTTATTTTGTTAATAACATTCTAAGACGTAAAAGCCAAAATATATTTATAATTATCAAATTAATCATTGTATATCTTATCTATTAGAATAGCTACTTTCAGATTCTAATCCCTTCTTTATTTTAATAATAATAGCTGTCTATGATAATATGTAAAAATATAAATCTATTTAATAGAATATTTAATAAGGTTACATAATTTTAAACAAATCAAAATGTAATTTATAATTTAATTATCAATGATAATTTTATTATACTATTAGAAATGATGGAGATATTTGTTAATTGGGTCTTAAGATTAATAAAAAAGTAAATATATAAATCAGTATTTATGAAATATATATCTCATAGTCAAATTGCTGAATAAATTATTTTAGTCAATGCAACTACACTTCTATAGATTAAATGTTTCCATGGTTGTGTTTTGAATTCAGTTTATTATTTATTAAGAACTAAACGATTTTGTAAATTGTAAATTGTAAATTTGAATACTCAAAAATCATTCTAATCCTCTTTCTTATCCCATCTCTGTTATTTCTTGTTAAAGAAAATCCCATGTTATTCTATAATTTTCCTTATCTTATTGGAAATATATCTCATAATCTTATTTTTCTTTTCAGCACAACGAATTCCAAAGTTTTTCTCACTCAGAATCCACTCATTTAACTCTTCCAGCTCCATGGCCCACTTCTATCCATTGGGCCACCCGGTTACCAGATGTTCTAAGATGTGTTCTCTATTGAACCATTGATCTTAATGTTCATTACACCTCACATTCGAGTATCTCCATTGATCAAAATAACCATAATTTGGTACTTTTCTAATTCTGTTGGTATCCACTTTCCTGTGTTCCTCTTTCCCACTACTTCGTAGTATCTAATTATGTATCTCTCTATATTATTCCATCTTCTTCTCTACTAAACGATTTCTCTTGAAATCATTAAGAATTAGAAAAGGTTTTATTATTTGAAACTGAACCAGGAAACAATTTTAATTATTGCTTAAATTAATAGCTTATTTTTTATATGATGGAAAAATATAAGTAAAGATGAAATAATATAAAATTGTTCAATAATTATTCATAATAATGATGGAAAGGGATTTTTATAGGCAGCTTATTTTTAAAATGATTATGAATTAGTATTTTAAAATAAGAATAAAGAAATTACAATCTTATACTTATAAATTTTGGATAAGGTTAGTAAGTAATACAGTCAATAATTTATTTTATTTGAAATGTTAACTATTTATAAAGGTGCTGATATTTTATACAAAGAATTTGGAGGACTAACAAAATTTAGAATATATTCTTATAAAAATGATTTTAAGGAAATATTAAAATTAATTCATTAGACATATGTAAATAAAAATGATTAATCTATAATGGAGAAGTCAAAAGTGAATAATATTATAGGATTAACAATTCGTTCGATCACTTTCAAAGAAAATATTATCTATAATGGAATAATGAAAAGATCATTAAATAAATATTAAGATAATAAATATAGTTCATTTTGATTCAATTGAAGGTTCAATTAATTGTATAAGATTACAACTGATTATTTGCTGATTTCATTAACTCATGGTTTATTAACAATGTATAGGAATGAATTAGATCTATTCATATTTTCATCCTCCAACAGAAGAATCTAAATTTTAGGATCATTTAATATACATGCAGATATCTGGGTCTGCATATTCAATCCAGAATAAGATATATTTACAACAGATTCTGAAGATTAAAATGTTAAAGCGTTTAATTTTAATTAAAACTAAATTGTTGAATTAACTGGATATAAGTTAGCTGTAACATTTTTAGATTGGAAATATTCACAAAATTAATTAATATTGTATTCTGATAATAGAATATATAATAATAAGGTTTTATGTTCAATCATATAATCTCATCAAAGTAATTAATTAATATATTTTTTTAAAAAACGAATGGTTTACTTTAATTTAAATGAATGTATATTAGAATCTTCCTGCTGTGGGCTGTCAAAATGGATATTTTTGTTGATATGACTAGTAGAAATAAAATTTATATTTTTGTTTAAAAGACGCAAATGAATAGTATTGAAGGATTCGTTATGAATTCTAAGTAGATTACAAAAAGTTCAAGTGATGACTTGTGTAAATGTTATTAAAATTAACTGATATTTTATTTTTATTTAAGTTTTATTATGTTATAATAAAGTAAGCAATTAAGATAGCAATATGAACAAGAACTAGAATAATAACTTACATTTGATAGAAAGACTAAATTCAGATACTACGAAAGTTAGCTACATCCTAAACCTAAATTCTTTAAATGTATTAAAACACCAACCAAATCCTTTTTGTAATAATCTATTAAAATACCAAAAGTGGAATAAAGTTGTAGAGATTTTATAGAAATGAAAAACTCTTTGTTTTAAGATTAAATTTCCATTATATAAACTTTTTGTCATTGTAAATTAGAAAAGTTAGCAATACTATTATAAAATCGGAAATTTAAAAATATTATGAGATAGGCAAAATAGATTGCAAAAACTATTCTTTTTTCTAAGGCAAGAATACAGAATTTATAAAAGCAGATTTGGTGTGAATTTATCAAAAACTATAATAAATAAGTTTAAAAGTAATAATATTAATAAATTGCTAATAATTTAAAAGCTCATATATAGCATTTCCTTTTAAAATAAATTTTATTTTAGTGGAGTATTATAGCAAAAGAGAAAAAAAGAGCAATTAAATTGATTATAATGAAACAATTCTTTTTAAAATGGCAAAAATCATATCCAATTTCACCAACATTAAAATGGTTTTTTAAAATTTGGAAGGAATATGTTAAAGAAAAAAAGGCAAAATAAATATATTCTTACTAAAGAATTAAAAAATTGTTTTAATTTTGGAAATTGAAAATTTCCTTAAAAAAAGTGAGAGTTAGACAAGAAATTATAGCAAAGCATCATTATAATAAAACACTTGCCCTTTGTGTTTTTGGATTGCTTTAATAAAACATCTTACTCAATAGAGGAAACCATTCATAATACTCAAATGAATTTCTAAAATCAGATTCCTAAAATTAAACTATAAAATTACAATAATGAAAACATAAAAAATTTTTAATTAATTTTTATATAAATTAAAATAACATTTATTAAGCTTTTTAAGAACTTCATCCTTAAATCATACTATTCTTAATTTTCAAATTTTAAATGATTAGCAGTAGTTCAGTTGGAAAAAGTTCTTAAAAAAGGAATGAATCTTTTATTAAAAATAAATAAATTTTTTTATTAAATTGTATGATTTATTAAAAATATAAATAAATAATAAAATGAAATGTAATTATCATATTTGATTAAATAAAAAATACAATTATTTATTTTTAATAAATAATATAAGTTTAATAATTGAAATTTCCATAATATCATTAAGATATTGGATATAATTCATTTTTTAGAAAAAATCTTTTAGTAAGCATAAGCCTCTGATAAACAAAGACTCAAATCTGATTCTGACCATTCTCTTGTAGGTATTTTTTCTAGAAGAATCATAATTTCATCATATTATAATTTCTAAATTTTGAGTGAAAATTTCATTAAAATAGATATAATAATGAAGAGGCACAATTCAAAATAGTCTAAAAATGAAAATAATATATACTTTTCTCTTCAGCTAATAAAGTATCAAATAATCTAAGGCCAACTTCAAATTAAAACATTCTTAGTAACATACAAGTACTCCATTTAAATACGAATGCATATAATTCCATGGCTATTATTATATTAGATTATTACATAATGTAGCAGTAAGATGTTCATAAAGTTTCTTATCCAATGCTTACAATATTTCCTTAAATTTGTTATAAAATCTAACTAATCCAGGTTATGAATTGGTATAATTATCAAGAACGTTTTCTAATAATTTACATAAACACCAATATGAATCTGCTTCTACTTATCTAATTAATCTTTAATCTAAATGATCTAATTGTTTCTCATTATTGAATTTTAATTTTGTTGTATCAATATCAACATAATCAGATAAGAATACAATTAAAAAAGGTGTAACAATATCATTCATTCCTTACACATATCCACAAGCAGGATTTCTTATATTCCATATAAAAAGTATTCTTTCAAGTAAAGTTTAAATTTAAGGATTTCTAAAAACTTAAGAATCAGGTATTGTTCGTTTAACATCCTCAGAAATTTATTTTAAAATCTTTTTTTCTCTTTCATCATACTGTTAATTTTTGGCAAAATAAATATCACACATTTCATAGTACATACTTCTTTTTCTCTCTATAATTGAAAACTAAGAAGTCTATTATCCAAAATACATTTGCATCCCTATTTGGAGATTAATATTTCAATAAAAGTCTCCAAACTACACTTCTCAGTTCACTAGGCACTCCTGACCAAGCCAAATGAAGTAGTTCATTGATAGGTATAATATTTTAATGTAGTAAATCTTTGAACTTTTCTAACATTATTAAAAAACTATACGAATTTTTTATCCATCTTCTCTATCGGTTTCTCTATTGCAGGATTTGTATTCTTCATTTCTGTTATACAAAGTGGCAATATTTACTTTCTAAATTTATAACATAATAAATTTTATTATAAGTATTTCATATTTTTTCATTTAGAAGTAACAATTAATTTTCAATTATCATTCCCAACATCTGAAAAGTCTATTCTTCTAATTACTTATTTTCAAATAGTATTTCATATTCTTTCTTATGTGGTCGTTATTATTATCTTGCTTATTGTTAAATCATTATTTCTCTTAATTCATCACCTATTTGTTCAAACTACTGATTTAATTCTTAATCATTCATCTTTTATATTTCTTCTTTTATTATTTTAATATTTATCATATTGCTTATATTAATTTTTTAGGCTATATCAAATAGTTTTTACACTTTCTCTAATCTTTAAATTGTAACATTGTCTGTTTTTATCAATTCTAACATAATTCTAACTAATAAATAAATTAGCTTAAATTTTATATCGAAAATCTTTACTTTACCTTCCTTATAAACTCTATTTTAATCCTTTATTATCAATGTTATTTAATAATTGTTTTATGAAGATCTTAGTTTCTTTAAAAAATTTTCACAAAGCTTTTTTGTATTTTCAATATTTTAACATATATTCAATATATCTCTAATATTTTCAATAATTTCATTTCTTATGATTCCATACTAACCAAATTAATAACTTAATTATTCATTTATAGTTAATTGTAAAGGAATCTTAATATCACTAATTTCTCCTTAATTCATTCTCTTGGATATAAATCTCACACTTTTTTTAAAACTTTCATTCTCCCCATCAGTAATCCAATTATGTTCAAATAATTCTTAATAACCAATTCTCTTTTTAGAATCTACTTCTAGCATTTTTGAAAATAAATCTTTCAATCCTTAAGAAATTTAAGTTTTAGCTGGATATATTACCTTTAATTATATACATTTATTACTTCTTATTTCTGCACTATTTTTGAAAATTCTTTTAGAGAAGTTTTTGCAGTAATAAATTATTACAAATAGCTATTACCAAAAATCATGATGTATAAAATCATTCCTAAAGACCAAATATCACATTTTTCATCATATTCTCCCTTTCCACATATAATTTCAGGAGCCATTGTAATTGGAGTTCCACAATATGATTACATTTAACTATCAAAGTTTCTTGCAAAACCAAAATCTCCTAACTTTATTATCCATTCTTAATTTATATAAATATTTGCAAGTTTAATATCTCTATGAACAACTTTCTAATGATACAAATATTTTATTCCTCCAATTATTTATTAAAATATAGCTTTTACTTCACCTTCTTAAAACCTATTTTTTTTAAATAATATCTCCAAATCACCATTACTACAATACTCAAAAATAATATAAATGTATTTTTCAGCCTTAAAACTATCATACAATTCAACAATGTTTTTATTTTTTAATTTCTTGCATATTTCTATTTCTTTTTCAATCATTTAATATTGTCTCTTATCCTATATTTAATCAAGGTCAAATTTAGATATACAAATTTCCTTTATTGCTACTTATCTTTTAAAATTATCATCCCATCCTAAATACACTATTCCAAAAGCCCCCTTTAAATATCTAAATATAACTTACATTCCCGATTACTTTTTAAAAGTAGTATTGATTTATTTTCTTAAAATACTATTCTTACATATAAATTTAAATAATAATAACAATTTTAAATTTCGTATAACTCAAGGTTTCTACTTTTATTGATTTATTTATTGATAAAAAATCAATAATTGATAAAGATTATAATTTTTAATTAGTATATGTATATTTTATTTTTCTTTATAAAAGAAACTACAAACCAAAATATTTTCGATTTAATATTAACATATTCAATAGCATATTAGATTAATATTATTATTATTCAGTAATTCTCATATTTTTTGAATAAAAATAATGAGATTTATTTTATAGAATCTTTTTTGATATAAAATAGATTAAGAATTTCATAAAAAATATCATAAATTAATGATTATAAGAGTTCCGTAAAATTAATTGTATGTTTTAAGTGATATAAAAATTAAAGAAATAGAAAAGAGTTTAGATTAGTTTCAGAAAATTAAGAATAATTGTTATTGGATTTATATTTAATACATCAATATTTAATGAATCACATTTTAAACTTGAGCAATGTATATTAATGAGTAATTTGAAATTATGCGGCAGTTATCACAATATAAGATATATTGAATGGGGTTTAAAAATTTCAATAAAAAATATCTAGATTTAGAATAATATAGTGGGAATGATATTAAAATAATAAAAGAAAGGATATTTGAGTTTAGGGTAGGAAAGTTGAGATAAATCAATGTTTATATGTATATGTATATATATATATTAAAAAATATATATAAAAATAATGTTTGATATTTTTTATTTATTTAAATAAATTTAGATTTATTGAATATATTGTAATTCGCTATATTTAAGCTTGATCTTTGATTTTGGATACAAATAAGAATTTAAATTTTAAATATCTAAATGAGCACCAGGGAAGAACTTATCTATATGACCAAATTGACAGAATAGACAGAGAGATTTGAAGATATGGTGAATTACATCAAATAAGTGGTTCAAAATGGATAAGAGTTGTCTATCGAAGAGAGAAACCTTCTTTCTGTTGCCTATAAAAATAGTATCGGTGGAAGAAGAACAGCTTGGAGAGTATTGTCCAGCATTGAAAACAAAGAAGAAGGAAAAGTAAGAAATAAAATTTAAATTTTAGGCTCAATCCCAACCTGCCTCATAAAAGAATCTTGTGTTGATTAGAAGCTATAAGAAAAAGATTGAAGAAGAGCTTAATCAATATTGTCATGATATCTTGAATTTGATCGACAGCCATTTGATCAAAACAGCTTCAACTCCTGAAGCTAAAGTTTTCTTCCATAAGATGAAAGGAGATTATCATAGATACATTTCTGAATATGCTTCTGGTGATTAACATAAGAAGGCTGCTGATGGTGCTCTTGCCGCTTATTAAGCTGCTTCAAATGTTGCTAATTCAGAATTAAAAACAACAAATCCAATCAGATTAGGACTTGCTTTGAACTTTTCAGTTTTCTACTATGAAGTCTTAAACGATGCTGCCAAAGCATGTTAATTAGCTAAATCAGTAATTCAATCTTATTAATCTTTTATAGGCTTTTGATGATGCTATTGCTGATATTGAATAAATTTAAGAAGATCAATACAAAGATGCAACTACCATCATGTAATTAATTAGAGATAACTTAACATTATGGACCTCAGAACTTGATGATGAAGGTGGTAACGTTGAAAACCTTTGAGAAGGTTATCATTTATGATATATATATATATATAATTATATATAAAAAGAAACAATATTTAAACAGATATATATATTGCTTAGAATTTATGTTATAATTATATAATAAAAACAAGAGTTCAACAATTACATTACTGTTATTTATCTGTTTCATTTACTTTTTTTTAATTTAAAAATTTAGGTTTGATCATTTCTCCATCTATTGCTCCTTACTATAATAAATCCAATATTTATATAGTAATTTGAGTGAATGCTTCATTGACTTAATATCCAGTTGCCGCACTAGTCTCTACATATTATACATCATTTTCTTAACAAAATTATTTTGCAGATTCTTCAGAAATTACTCTTTATGATAAATATATAATTTTACCTTTATTTTTCTAGATCTATTTTATTTCCTACAATAATTATTTAAATAGATGGTTTAGAAAAGTCTCTTGCATTTTTAATCCATTCTTTAAGAGCCTCAAAAGACTCTGAACTATATTACTGTATATTTGTACTTAGTGACATCAAATACAATTAATGCTCCTAATGCACCTCTATAATAACCCTTAGTTAAAGCTCTATATCTCTCTTAACCAGCAGTATCCCATAGTTACATTTTTATTCTCTTTTGTTTCACTTAAATTACTTTTGTTGAAAATTCAACTCCTACTGTCTGCTTTACATTTTAAATTTCTTTAATCAACTTATAAATTACATTTCCCATTATTATAATGATAAAGGAGACTTGTTTTACCACAATTACCATTTCCTATAATGATGAATTTAAACACATAATCACTCTATTCTTCTGTCATTTTTACAAATTATATTTTATTAGAAAAATTATTACAAAAAAAAAAAGAATAAATAAATTTAGATATTCATATCATATATAAGAATTTAAATTCTCTTTACTAAAATATTCTAATTTTAAACTAAATAATTTATTTAGATATTTTAACAAATTAGATATTTTAGAAAATTAAAAGTTTTTTGTCTTGCACAAGTTTAAAATAGAATTGTCATGAATTAAATATTTTGGTATTTAGATTATATATCTTGATTGAATTAGCTTTAAGTGAAATTTCAAATAATTGTATCAGAAAGAAAGGGAAAGAAGAAAAGTTGGAAAAACTTAAATATCTTATTTGATACAACATTTATTTAGATTAATTGTTATAAAGAAGAACTTGTAATAAAATATTTGTAAATTATATTATTATGAAAGTAATTATTAGAATCAATAGATTAAGTATTTAGATAATTATGTGAGTCCTTAATTTAATATTGATATTTAATTATTGTTTTAAAGATGAATGAATAAGATGATGAAATGCTAGTTGAAGAGATTCTATGTTGTTAAAATGATGATGATATAAAAAGTTTAGTTGATTCTTAGTGTTTGGATATAATTGGGAACTCTTTATAAGATTAGTTAAATTTGGCACATAAACAACTTTTTCGAGTGATTAGAATATTTAGAGAATTTTTGAATTAAAGTCCAAATCAATATTGGGATTAAAGAACAAAGAAAGAACAGAATTAAGTTTTATAATAGAATTACTTGATGATTCATCATGAGTTGTAACGAGAAAAAAATAAAGTAAAATAAATAGAGGAAGTGAATAGATAAATGAAATTATAAATAAAATTATATGAAGGAGATTATGAAACAATGAGATAATAAAGTTTTGAGGATATAAAGAAAGTGGAAGATTAATTAGTTAAAACAAATAACTAAATTTCTCTATATAAAAATTCACTGATTCAAAAGTTTTGTGTAATATGTCTATAAAAGGAATATTGTATAGTATTGAAACCTTGTGGACATGTTTGTGTGTGTGAAGAGTGTTCAAAAAAGATAGATCATTGTCCTATTGATAGAGTTAAAATTTAAAAAATGAAGAAAGTTTACTTATCATGATATATAAGAATTATTTATTATGATTAAAATTATATGGATTGTGATAATTTTTTATTTAGTTTATAGAATAGAATAAATTAAAATTTAAGTATATATTGTAAAGGTATGATGTTTAGAAGAAAATAAATTATATGTAGTTATTTATATAATTTAAAATAAAATGGGAAACTTCTGCATAGATGTTTGTAACAACATAAATAATACTTTAAGAGGGGCTACTTCAGCAGGAGAAAGTAAAGGAACTAAGTAAGGTGGTAAAAAAGGAAAATTTGTTGATTTTAATATTGGTGCTTCTACAATATCAAAAGAAGAATTTAAATAAGCAGCAAAGAAAAAAAAAGAAGAGTAGAGAAAGTTAGAATTAATAGATAAAATGTAAGAGTAAGAAATTGAAAGGAAATTGAAATAGGAACTTGAAAAAATATAAAGAAGATAGATGGAGAAAAGATATCTAAGAAAGGACTTTAAATATTTTGATGAAACTACATAATAAAGAATATATAATTTTAGTTTATTAGATAAAGATGAATTACTTTAATAAATTATGGGTTATAGTACTTTAAGAATGCTTAATGAAAAGTAATGTGAACCTTTAGCATATTTTCCACTTAAAAATTCTGATGAATTATTATGGGAAGATCACTCTGAATATTTGTAAAACATAGTACTTGATGAAATTATATAATTAGATGAATCTGAAAGTTATAAATCGATGTTATGGACAGGTAAAAGACTTTCTAATTTAAAATAAAAATATTTAGTTGAAATAACTTAAATTAAGAAATATGAATATCTTTAATAATTTGAAGAGAATTTCTATTTCAATAAATCAATATAATCATTATTGTCATTAACAAAATAAGACACTATTTCATCTGATATTTATAATGTTTCATATCAACAGTAATGGTTTCTCTTAAATTATTCAAATATATTTTTAAGAGTTACAGATATGCCAATAGCAACATTGAGAGAAGTAATAAAAATTAGAGCTTCATTACCTAAAACGGAAGGTGCTTATAAAGAATAAGAAATTTTGGGATTCTTAATTCTTATGATGAGAGCTCTAAGAGATGCAAAATCAATTTATATTAATCATGGGAATGTTAATGATGAAAATATTTATTTAAGTGGAGATGGTTAATATAAAATTAAAGGTTTCAATGAATTAAGAATAACTAGTTATGTTGTTAAAAAACCTATTAGTTAAACTTTAATTAAAAAGTCATCTAGAATATATTCTGGTCATCATAGTGAAGTTGAAAGTGAAGAATTATTGGCAGATTAAGATGATGATAGTAAATTAGAAGATGAAGCAGATAAATATGAAATATGTTGTACTCATTCATATTTATAATACTATATCAAATAAGTCAAACCTAGACATCTAATCTTTTTTAATGAAACTATAAGACCTGTTATTGAAAAAGGATTATTTTTATATTGGAATAAAAATATTGATAAAATGAGTCAAGAAGCTAAAAATGAAAGACTTGTCAGAAATACTGAAGATATTATATTAAATTCTTTAATTATGCAATAAAATTTTTATAGTTTAGCAATTATTGCTATTCAAATGATTAGTTTAGGAAAATTTGAACAATGGTGTTAAATTAAATCTAAAACTTCACATCATTCTAATTAAAGTAACAAAAATGATATCAGTTAAGCAGCCAAATATATTAAATCTTTTAGTGGATTACATACTGATGAATCTTATCTTAATTAAAGAGTTAAGACTTTAGAAGAATTTAAAGAGTATTAAGCTAAAAATTATATAGAAATAATGTCATTCTTAGCATAATATTAATTAATTAACAATAAATAATAAAATTATTAGATTGTAATATTATATTTATAAGATATGCTTAAACCAAATTGTGATTGGAAAAGAATTATGGATTAATTATAAGAAGAAGAATTTGATCCTCCAAATGATATTATTTTCTTTTAAAAACCTAATCTATCAAATGAACCAATTAGTAAATCAAAAAATGAGAAAATTTCGACTTAATAATCAGATAAGAAGAAATCTGAAAAATAAATTAATGTTGTTTAATAAGAAAAACCTTTAGCTGATCAACCATAAACAGAATTATCTGCAATTGTAGATTATGAATCAAATAAAGGAGGTCTTTTAATAAGAGCATTTAATGTTTCTGATTAATTTTATGATTTAAGAAAGTATTTTTATTAAGTCTAAGGATATATGCTTATAAGAAATACTAGAATTGGATAAGAAGCTGCTAAATATATCATAAAAACAATAGCTTCATTATAACTTAATGATCATAATAAATTAGCTCATTATAAAATTAGTAATGCTAGTGAAATCTTTTTTTCAAAAACTGAATATGTATTTCTAAAATTCTGTCTAGGTTTTTGTTATATGTAAAATAGAGAATTAGAGTTAGCATATACAACATTTACTTCACTTGAATCAGATATTTAGAATGCTGATCCTAAGACTTTGAAAAAGATCAACTAATCTAATATTAAATTTTATTAAGGACTAATTACTTTTATATCAGGAGAAGGTGAAGATGCTTTATAGTTATTTAATAGAGTACTTTAAATCTCTAAAAATAATCTTAAAGAAATAAATGAAAAAGCTTATTATCAATTTATACATTATTATTTTCTATTGCAACTTGATTAAGATGGATATTTTGAGGCATTTAAATATATATAATAATTAAATGAATATCATGAATAATAATGTTAAAAGTATGATTACATAAGTAAAAGTTTAATCTTATCATGTTATAATAGAGGAAAGGCATATTATGAAGTAAGTTAATTTGAATTGAGTAAATATTACTTTGATATATCTCTTAAATTGATATCAAATATAACACGATCAGGAAGTGAAATGGATTCTCTTAGACTATTAAATTTAGGTTATTTGAGTTATTTAAATTTCTTAACAAATGATATGGAGAATATGAAGTCTAATTTATAAAAAGCTATGAGTATTATGTAAGAAGCTTTAAGTAGTTTTCATTGTTTGGAAACAGTAGTTTTATTTTTTAATTTTTTTGGATTCTTATTAAAATCACTTTATACAGATTTAGAAGATATGTAATAATAAGTTGAATTATTTTAATTAACAATTGATAATAATAAAAGAGTTAAAATAGATTAATTCTTTAAGAAATTTGTATTTGGTAAGATGTTTTATTATGCAGGTGATATAAAAAAAGCTTAAGAATTATTTTTAGATGCAGTTCAATTATAACAATATTAGATTGCTGATGAATTAAGAATTAAATAAACATAAAATATTTCTGTTCATCAATTAAAAGAGTTTTAACAATTAAAAGTATAAATGCTAAAGGATTATTAAGAATAATAAAAAAAATTTAAAACAACTTTACCTCCTCCACAGAGAGATAATTTAACTGTAAGATTATTAATGGAAGTATATGATTGGTTGGGTTACATATATATAAAATAGAAAGAAGAAAAAAAAGCAATGTTATGTTATAATTTATATTAATAATATATGTATAATTTATTTAGATTTGAATAAACATTAATAGATGAATATACAATGAGATGGGCAAAAATTTAATTTTATTTATAAAAATATGATGAAAGTTTAAAATTATTTTCTTAATTAGCCTGTGATCTTAGAAAATAAAAAGTGGATGAAGATTTATATTTCGAATATTAATAAATTCAAAGTGATATCAGTAGATGGATGGGATTGCTCTATCTTTTATAAAATAAAGATGCTTCAGCTAAAGTTGCTGTTGAACGTTCCAAAGAAGAATTAATGAAGCTTTATAAATAACAATAAGTTAATGAAATTTCTAAAACATAAACTAATAATAGTAGAATAGGTACTTAATTAAGTGATCCAAAATTATTATCATAAGAAAGAGAAGAACAAGTAGGATATTCATAATTTTAAGTTTCAAATAGGGTTGAATATGTAGGAACATCAATGATTCATCTCTAATTGTAAAAAAGAAATTAAAAGGAATAAAATTATTTTAAATTACAATAAGCACCAATACTTGTATTATTAGTATAAAATTATATGCGTGTTATTTGGGATTGTATTTCATTAAATTTAAAAAAATTATCTATTAGTTATGTAGAGGAATTTTTAAGTTTTATTGAGAAGGATAAATATTTAAATACTAATATTTTTGAGAATGTATTAAAAAGCTCTATTAGATCAGATGTTTATTTTTTGGTTGGATATATATATGGATAGAGAGGATAACATGAAGAAACATTTATATTTTTTAAAAGATCATTTATAATTATTAAAGAGTTGTATGACAATAATCAATTAGATTAATAATTAATAATTAAGATGAGTCTAATTTATGATTAAATGTCAAGAGTTTTAGCAAATTAAGGATTTTATATTGATGCTAAATAATATTTAATGAATTCACTTCAATTATTTTAATAAGTAAAAAAAAAGATTAATCCTCTTTAAATTGCTTATAAGCATGCAAATTTAGGAAATCTCTTATTTAAATTAGGATAATATACAGATGCAAGAGTTCATACAGAAAGTGCTCTTGTAATTTTTGAAGAAGAATATGGTAAAGTATCAGTTCCTGTTTTATAAGTAAGAACAAAACTATTAGAAATTTTATTAGCACGAAATAAGAATTAACTTATAAAAAAAGCTACTTTATAATTGATTGAAACATTTAAAATTGTATGTGAGACTCATTATTCTACAAAATTAGATGGTTAAATAGATAGAATGATAGGAAGTTATCATCATAAATATGGAAATTATTCAGAAGCATTAAATTTATATTTAACAGCATTTATTAAATTATTAGATGACAATGAATAAGGAATGTTATTACTTAATTAATTAACATAAGGAGATAAAAATTTTAAAAACTTTTTATTAATAAAATCAAGTGATAGAGCTTCACTTGATATTGCTTTGAATATAAGTTCTTTATATGTAGATAATGTATAATTTGAAAATGCTTATGATTTATTAATCAAATTACTTGATTTAAGTAAAGGTATTGATTATGATCCTCCAGAACTTGGAAAAATAGCTGTTTTAGGTCATGATAAAGATGAAGACATTCATAATAGTAATGAAGGAATATTAAAAATTATATCATGCTTTAATAAAGTTGATCCAAAAAAAGGAAATCTTACTGTATTTGAAATTAGAAGAACAGAAATTTTCGATATGTTAAAATCTAAAAGACATATCAATTTACTTTTTATTGCTGATATTTATAGATTATTAGGATAAATTTTAAACTTTTGGGAAAGATAAAGAATTGAAGCATATTTCTTTACAAATTATACTTCAATATTAGCCAAATATTATGGAAGTTAATCTAAATATTAAAGTTAAAAATCTAAAGTAAAAAATGTTAGAGGATAATAAATTGATGAATTTCAAAATTAAATATTTAATTTTCTTATTGATTCTTTAATAATATATCAAGAAGCTATTGGTGATTATCATATACATTTTGTTGATACATTATATTTATTATCTGAGAGATAATATTTACTAGAATAATACGAAGATTTATCTAAATAAGCTACTTAAGTAATTGGTTTACTTAAATAATAAAAATTATCATTTCCTATTAAACAATGGAGATTAATGTTAATCTAAGTTAAAACTAATTTACAAAATTGTAAAGCATATAAGCAATTATTATTATTAATTCATCGGTATAATCTTGATCCAGGTTATAAAGATTTAGAGAATACTGAAGAAAATTTATTTGAAAAAACAATTCAAAAGATTAAATTGATGGCAATATAAGATAAAAAGACAAACAAGAAAACTAAAAAGATAATTAATATAACTAGAGATGGATTGGCAGCTATAGCATGTTTAATAAGATCTGAAGAAGAAGAATTTATTTATTTTATTGAAAATCTTGAAAATCAATAAGAAGAGCAAATTGTTACTCGATTAACAGTCGAAGTTAATTTTGCTAAATAATAAAGAGCTATAAATGATTTAAATAATCTATAAGCTTCATCTCCCTAATTAAGAAGTTCTAATTAATAACCTAAGACTTAAACACCAAAAAATTAAAAAGAAGAAAAATCATTTTTTGCATAAAAGCAAAGATATCTTGATACAACTAAAGAATTATTACCTTAACAATAAAGAGTATTATTTGAAGGATTAAGGGGTATGAGATAAATTAAGAGATTAATTAGAAGGTATTTAAGAAGAAAGATGAAGGCTAAATAAAAGAGAGATCAAGATGATAAACACAATATATATTTAGAAGGTAATGACTCAATTATCAGGTTTGAAATTTCACAACTTCTATATGAAATGAAATAGATAAAAATTATAATTATCACCTTATTGGGATAATCTTACTACAACCAAAAGAACTTAGATGATGATTGATCTGTAATATTTACAACAAAAAATTTTCATCTCAAATCAAAGTTCAATTTACATTTCATCTTCTATGTTTGTAATCTTTTCATTAAGATTATCAAATAATTCTTCTGTAATCTAACCCTCTCTATTAAATTCAATTTCTGTTATTTTAAGTTATTTTTATATAATTTTTTCGATTATTGATTTTTAAAATTGATCTATAATTAATTTGAAACATTTTTATTAACAAATAGGACAAATCCATTTGTTTTCTATTTAATTTTATTGAACAAATATTTCTAAATCAAAACATTAGATATGATTACATATTGATCCTTTTCCTGGTAGTTTTATTATTTTTGAACTCTAAATATCTATTATTGAAATTTTTAATGTTTATAAACCTTTTTGATTAATATAAGAAATAATTTTATTTTATGATTCATTAATTGATAATGATTCATCATTTTATAATTCCAATAAAAATTCTCTATAATTAAAGACTTTAACACTATAAATTACGATTATATATTAATTTTGATTTAGAGGTTATTATTTCTAGCTTATATTTAATTACATTAGTTATTTAAAGATAGATTGTTAATATAGTATTGTGACTTTGTTTGTCATTCCAAATTTTATAGATTAATTAACAATATAAGATTCTCCACTCTTTTTACACATTTTTTAATCAAATTATATTACTTTTTAATTATTGAAATAGATTTCTCCAGATTCTGGCCAAACTAATTTATCAACTTCTCCAATCTTTAAACATCTCATTTAAATTTGATACTATTATTCAAGTGTAGGGCACTCAAATTATAAAGTTTTTTCTTTGTTTTCATCTTCTAAATTAATAATTTCTGGTTCATGTAATATAGATATTACTTTCTCCATAGGACTTATAAATTACAATAAACAAAAATGGCATAAAAAATAAGTTTTCTTATCCTGAAATTATTTTTAAATACAACATGAATGATAGTACTCTTTACATCTTTTACATTTAAGAATATGAGATGTTTAGATTAATTCTTCATTATATTTGAAACCTCGATATTTACATAAACATTTTGGACAATTTTTTTTCTATTCAAATTTCTTTGCTGATTTTTTAATTGAAACTTCTATTTAATGATTTAATAATTAGATTTCTCTTTTCTTTATAACATTTATTGTTTTTTTTTTTGTCTCAAGCAACTCCATTATCTTAAAATTTGTATTTTTTACTATATTTTGTAAAATAGGATGTTTTTAAAGTATAAGATCTTCATATGGTAAAAGAGAACCATATATTAAACTCTTTAAATTTATTGGATTTGAATAATTTATATCTGGACTATTAAGTAATGCTATTTGTCTTATTTTTAATAAATGCTTGATTAAATATTCAGGTATAACAATTAAGAATTATTATCTACTTTAGAATTTAGGTGCACTTAATAATCTTAAAATATCAATTTTTTCACTTTCCTCAATTTCATCTAAGCCTAATTCCATTATACACATTTTTATGTATAATGGAATTTAGGTGTCAATTTCGCTTTTTAATTTTCTTAATGCTAATTGATTTTCTACTTCTGCTTACTAAAACATTGATTGTCTAAATAAAAAATCAATTTTTATCACTTTTCAAAAAATCCATAAATTCCAAATATTTATGTCCTTTTTTTTTTAATTAATTAATTTTTTTAATGCAAAATTTATCATTAATGAATCACATTATATTTTTAATTGTTCGCTCTTCATTAATTTAATAAAAATGATATTGATTTGAAGCAGTATATATATAATTGAAAATTATAGAAAATTATTAAATACAATTTTCTAAATCATACTTCAACTATTAAAATTAATAGAGATCCTTTAATTTAATTAAAATTTTAGTTATTTTAACATAAAATAAACTTAAGAGTTAAAGAATTATAGTTAATATATATAATCTTATAATGAATAAATAATTTTAATGATAAGAATTTATAAATTCCCTTATTTTCTGTTTTATTTTTCTCTATATGTAAAGTATTCCAATTTTATTTAAATATTAAATTAATTTAATTTAATTAAATATCAATTTCAGAAAACAAATAACATTATGCATTTCAGTGATTATTCTTATTATATTAAATAATCTTCTTAACAATTTAATTATCTCTTTAGGATTCTCTATGAATCTTCTAATTTAGTCTAATACTAAAATCATTGAAAAATAATAATTCTTCAAAAATTTGATAAATTAATTTATAGAAATATAGTTTAGAGTTGTGTAAAAGAGATTGTCTAATTTAATGATGATTAATAAAGTGATTAATATAATGGTTTTTATTATAATGGAAAATAAATAAGAAGTTTAATCATTAATCACTGTTTCGAATGTAATTCCAACTGAATTGATCCTCGTTAATATCATTCCTTTTTGTGGGAACAGGAGTAAATTAAGCAAATTTCATAGAGAGTCTTTATTTAGTAGTAATTGATTCAAATAAAAAGGCTTCAAACTTCTTAACTTCTGGTGATGACATCATTTATTCTATTTCCCATGATGGATTTCTTTAATTTGATTTATCAGATTTGGAATTCAAATCTTTTTATGATTAAGTGAGCTTCAGCTTCATTTTACTCATTTATAATTATTTTTTGTATATGTATTCTAAAAATAAAATTAATTAGACGAAATTTGCACTGGAAGTAATAAAATCAATCTAAATAAATACAGCTAATATAAATCATAAAAGAGCATTCTCAAAAGTAATTTATGTTGACAAAATTAAACAAAAATAAATTACTTCTGCTGAGAATTTTTGATAAATTTAAATTAATCTGTTATGAAGAAATTCGATAATTATGAATCGTTTTTGAAACTAACAAATAGAATGTCTGAGAATTCTACTCCTATTGGAAATATAAGTTAAGTATTAATTTAAGATAAATTTAAAAGTAAAAGCCATTATATCATCCAACTGTCTTGAATGGGTTGAGGAATAAGAATACATAATCCTATAAAACTCTTTGTTCTCCTTCAAAGGTGTTTGATCATTCTGATACACCAGATAATACATATAACTATAAAAATAAGTATGAAGCAAGTGAAAGGAAAAGATAAATTGAGGCAAACTCATAAAGAACTATTAATCCAAGTCTTGAAAAAATGAATTCACCTCAATAATCAAGGATACAACAAAGTATTCGTTACAATGTAAATTCAGAGAGTATTTACAAAGAACCTAAACGTTAAGTAAAGTAACGAATATTTATTATAAATAGAGCTTGTACATAAAAATCTTAGGATTTTAATCATAGAATTAATTTACCTATTAGTAAAGTAAAGAATTATTTATAATTTTAGATGTAAGTAAATGAAGGTAATGAAGAATGTGGAATCTCTCGAACTCATAAAAAATCATAATCTATTAGGACTTTTGTAGATCAATAGAATTCTCCTATATAAAATGATTGTAAAAGAAACAAAACTATTTAGGTTTTTAAATTTATACTGATAGAGCAAAAACAACACATTATGATGAAAGTTTTCGTCATTTATTAACAAGTTATTAAAAAGCAAATGTAATTAAAAATGATGGTAAAAAAAAATATCCTTAAAGTCTATAAATTTATGAATAAACTAAAATAGTTGAGTAATAAGCTTTAAAACCATATAATAGAGTTCTTTAATAAAGTGATAATGAACAAAATGTAATTATTTGTAATTTAAAATTAAGATAAAATAAAATAAAAAAGGTTAAGGAGATCAGTTCTATAATCAATAGAAATCAACTTTTAAGATATATTGAAAATTTCTTGTTCATTTCTCATTAACTTATAAATAATATGTTAATTTCCATATGAATATAAAGATTAAATTATATATATATATGAAAAGTTCATCACCAAGAAATTAATTAGTAATTGAAAAAAGAGGTCTAAGTGAACATGTTTAAGCTACTAATATCAACTCAGGAAGTAGAAAGACTTCAATTATGACAAAGGATGGCAATATTTTAAAGGGAAATCTCTAAACCATTTAAAAATAAACAGAGATAAATAACTCTTAACTCAAGAAGGTTTCAAGCGCTGGAAAATTACTGATACCCAAAAGTTAACATTCTATATATTTTTTTAGATGATTAACAATAACAAAAATAAAAACGATTTTCATCAAAAGAAGGAGATGGATAAAATGTAATTAGATCAGGTTATTTATACAAATAAATTTCTCCAAAAGTAACAATGCAAGAAGATAAAATGAATGTTGTATTTATTCAGGAACTCAATAAATATTAAATAAATAATGAACCAACATCACCAAAATCACCAAAATTAACAGATGCTAATTTATTTATGCATGAAATGACTTAAAATGGATTTTAATTTAAAGGACCATAATCACCTCCATCGCATGATATACTTACAAATGGTTAACTAAAAAATAAAATACCTAAAAGTGTTTTAAGTCATCATCAAAACTTAATACATGCATCTGGAAAGAAAACAAATGAATTAAAAATAAGCAAACAACATCAAAACACAGTAACCTACTATTGAAAATGATTTGTAAACAGATTAAAAAACTTTTTCTATTATTATGCTATGTTAATTATAATATATTTTTATTGATTCAAATAATATTTACTACAATTAATAATCGAAATTGTTTACTTTATATGATCAATTATAAATATATTATAATTAATGTTATTCGTTTCTGCAATGTAAAATGCATTGGGCTCACCTAAATATAAATCAGCTGAAAAATAATAAAAGAAATAAAAATCATCTATTGATAGTGAATAATTAACTACTCTATTGTAATTAGAAGCCGCATTTCATGAAAGACTTTACAGCATTGATCATGTTACAAAATTACTAGAAATATATAGTTATTTAATAGAATAATTAGAACCTAATTTACAACCTCTAAAAGATTACTTCATAGAAAAAATGGAATTTTTATTGAGTAGACCAGAAACTATAGAATTGATGATGGATAATGATGAAAGATCAACAGCTCTTTAGAATAGATTTACTACATTGATAAATACTTAAGCACTCGATTAGCTTAAAATTAATGAAGAATAAAGATTTAATCGACCATTTTTACAATAAAATTCTGACTCTAATTCTAAAATGAGATTTAGTGTATTTAAAAAGCATTAAGCTAAAGAAAAAGAAATTTGTATGGAGGTTTAAGAAAGAAAGTAAGATTAAAAAGGTGATATGAATTCACTCTTATAAGAGTATGATTAAATTTCAAAAGAATATGATTCTGTCATTAAGAAATAACTTCAAGATTAAAATAATGCTATCAATTAAAGAATGGCTATTAGAAAAAATAAGAAAAAACGAACAAAATAATCAAATTCATAAGAAAACAAAAGAACATCTGTAGTCAATCCTGTAAGAACCACACTTTCAAAATGGAAATTAATTAATGAAATTCAAGAAAGTGCTCAATTTTGGCGTCAATCAATAAATAAAATAAAGAAGTGATTATGACTTTATTTTATTATTTTTTTTTAAAACAATAAATAATTAATTCAACAAGTTAATTTTATTTAAGATTCCATCATTATTAATTTTTATCCAATATTAGCTCTTCTAGAACTTTTACATTTATTCAAATTTTCATTTTCTATATCAATTTTATATATATTTTTAGATACTTTTATTTTTAATAACTTAACTGTTCTATAATGAACTATTTTTTGAAATAGTTTAACTGCCTAATCCTCTTTTTCTATCTTAAACAGAGATATTTTATATCACATCTTTTATATTAGAAAGTGAATTATTTTTGTTTCTTAATTTTTATCCATAAAATCTATAACCTTCCTTTTGTTAAATTATTTTTTATATAACTTTATTCATTGAATTACAATAATTAATAATATTATATTATTAAGATTTGATTGGAATCTCATTATTATCTATTTTTATTACTTTTTCTAATTATTATTTTAAATTTCCTTTATATTCTGAAAAAGATTTTTCAATCTTTTAGTCTAATTTAATAATTATCAACTACTTTCTAATTGAAATGGTTAAGGGATTGGTTATTAAAATGCTTTTGAATTCTGTATTTATTACTCTCTTTGACTTAAATCTAAAGATTTTCTTTTATTCTCTTTCTCTAGACCATTAATTATTTATTTTAAATAATAAATTTCGTTTTTTAGCTTCTCTTAGACTTCATGATAAGTTTAATTTTCTTTTTTTAAATTCTAAATAATTGTGAATATTTTACACTAATTAGTTATTTCGTTGTATTTAATAATTCAGCTCTATTTATTTCGCTTTCATCTAATTTAGTTTAAATTGATTCAACATATAATTTAAGTTGTTATTCAATCTTTAATAAAGGTTTTTATTACTCTTATATGATTTCGTATTTCTACATCATACTTTATCATTGTTTATTCTAATTTTTCATACTTTTCCTCTGTTCTTTTATTATATGTCTATGACTACTTACGATAATTTCTTTTCAAATTTTATCATCAATTAGTAAACACTGCCTTTATTATTCCTATCAAATGGGATAAATTTTCATAATCTATTAGTTCTACTTCTATTTAGTTGAACTCTTCTCTAGTATCAATGAATTTTTCAGCATTTTATAAAATCCTCTCTAGAAGATCTTTGAGATTATTTTCTAGTTGGCTTTTATTAATAATGCTATCCTGATATTAATTTTATTCTTCGTTCATAAACAGTAATTTTATAAAAATATTATATTAAAAAAATTTTTAAGTATGCTTACCCAGGTTTATAGAGTAACATTCCAATTTAAAATATTGTTTTTATTGCCAAAAAAACTATTAAATATTTAAATTTGCTATATAATTAAATAAAAATAAGAATTGATATATTACCATTAGTNTATAACCTTCCTTTTGTTAAATTATTTTTTATATAACTTTATTCATTGAATTACAATAATTAATAATATTATATTATTAAGATTTGATTGGAATCTCATTATTATCTATTTTTATTACTTTTTCTAATTATTATTTTAAATTTCCTTTATATTCTGAAAAAGATTTTTCAATCTTTTAGTCTAATTTAATAATTATCAACTACTTTCTAATTGAAATGGTTAAGGGATTGGTTATTAAAATGCTTTTGAATTCTGTATTTATTACTCTCTTTGACTTAAATCTAAAGATTTTCTTTTATTCTCTTTCTCTAGACCATTAATTATTTATTTTAAATAATAAATTTCGTTTTTTAGCTTCTCTTAGACTTCATGATAAGTTTAATTTTCTTTTTTTAAATTCTAAATAATTGTGAATATTTTACACTAATTAGTTATTTCGTTGTATTTAATAATTCAGCTCTATTTATTTCGCTTTCATCTAATTTAGTTTAAATTGATTCAACATATAATTTAAGTTGTTATTCAATCTTTAATAAAGGTTTTTATTACTCTTATATGATTTCGTATTTCTACATCATACTTTATCATTGTTTATTCTAATTTTTCATACTTTTCCTCTGTTCTTTTATTATATGTCTATGACTACTTACGATAATTTCTTTTCAAATTTTATCATCAATTAGTAAACACTGCCTTTATTATTCCTATCAAATGGGATAAATTTTCATAATCTATTAGTTCTACTTCTATTTAGTTGAACTCTTCTCTAGTATCAATGAATTTTTCAGCATTTTATAAAATCCTCTCTAGAAGATCTTTGAGATTATTTTCTAGTTGGCTTTTATTAATAATGCTATCCTGATATTAATTTTATTCTTCGTTCATAAACAGTAATTTTATAAAAATATTATATTAAAAAAATTTTTAAGTATGCTTACCCAGGTTTATAGAGTAACATTCCAATTTAAAATATTGTTTTTATTGCCAAAAAAACTATTAAATATTTAAATTTGCTATATAATTAAATAAAAATAAGAATTGATATATTACCATTAGTAAAAACAAAAAAATATAGATTTGGATAAACTGAATTAATAGATTATTATTGATAAATTTTCATTATTGGGAAGATTTTCTATTTGCTTATTATTATGGAATAGAGAGTGAATGTTATGAACTTCCTTTTCGAATTGAAAAAATTATATTGTTTTTAAACTTTTCAACTATATTATTAATTTTTTAGGCTTCCTCCTCAAATGAAACTGCTAAGATTGGAAAAGCAGATTAAAAATCTTCATCTGGTTTAAGATCAGTTAATATGACATTAGCCAATTTAGACATCAATTAGTTGAATGTAGTAGCAAATTTTCGATCATTATAAATAATATAATAATCTGATTCATCAATTCGTTTAATGATTTGTTATTCTCTCATGACTCTTTTCACATTATTTTGGATGATAATAGAAATATTTTATTTGATTATAATGCAATTATTAAGTTTATCTCTAGTTAATTATGGAAGTTAATCTAGATTGCCAACAAGATCAAAAAACATTGAGAATCTTTTAAAGAGCTACATAAGATCTTATACCAATTATTCTAAGTTAGATTAATTTTTGATTTCTAAAGGAAGAGATTATCCTGCTAAAGATGTAGCTTCTAAACCTGGTTAATTGGTGGTTCTAAATTCATCATTTTATTTTAGAGTTTTTGCTTTATGTTTTCTGGCAGAACAGACTGGACCCATTTTAATATATTTATGCACTTAAATTTAATAATTTAAGATAAAATTAGTAATTAATTTTAATACCAAAAAAAATATCAACTTGATATACATTGAATATACTATTGATATTTATATTAATTTATTAAAATAAAGAAGGATGTCCATTGTAACTAGATTTGCTTCTTATTTCATAAAGAGTAGAGTTATTAATTATTCATGTATGTATTAATAGAGATCAATTTATTAATAGTGTAAGTGGATAGAATAATGACTGAAATGTGTAAGGCTGGATTTTAAGATCCTGAAGAAGGATTCTTAGAAAGAGATCCTATGACATACTATGAATGTAGATTTTATTCTCATATTGCTAGAAATTGGACTCCAAGATTAGAATCTTTGTAATTTTATATATCATATAATTAGTGAAGTGAACTAATATGAATTGGCAAAATAGAAATTTACTCAATTTGAGAAGTTATATTCATTCATTCTTGAATTACATAGATTAACATGGGAATACAGATCATTATATTTGGAATTAACAAAAGAAATTGCCACTCATAACACTTGGTTTAGAAGTGAACATACAACATTTACATATGAACATCATTTAGAAGAAGCTATTAATAAATATATTGATCTCTTAGATTAATTGAAAGAATATCCATTATGGTAAGAGAGAATTAAAGAAGAAATTGGATATTATTTGCATCTTATTTATAACTCTACAACACATTCAAGTTAAAGTAAAGAATTATTTGCTAAATTTGTAATCTTACATTTGATATTTAGGATAAATTATATTTCTTCAAATGATAGCAATCCAATGAAATAAATGTTAGAATTTACATATATATATATTCTACCATTATTATTATTATTTTATAAACACTTTTTCCAATGTTGTCATCGTAATTATAATTATCTAATCTACAATCTAATCTTATTTCTCCTTTCAATGATGAGTTATTAATATCATTTATAATATCTTTAAAATTATATATGCTTAAATTCTCTAAGATATCCTTTTAGATATTAGACATTAAATTAATAAAAAAATGATTGAAGATGATGAATCTGAAGGCTTCTTTTAATTCAAGCTTTAGAAAAAGATTAAGAAGCATAGAAGCATCCCTTTAAGAATATAAAAACATTATGAATCCTTAAACTTAATGCAGATCAAGGCAACCGATTAAGAATCCTCTATTCTCTCTTTAATCCATAAGCGAATGGAATGTAATATTTTGCAGTATTATCCATAGTATATTCCAAAAATAAATAAATCATTTAATGGAAAGAAAATATATCTGAATCTCATTCAGCTAATTTTGTAAATCTAATCAAAAGTGAATCAGAAACTTTTGAAAATAGTGAATATTATTATCCATAACCTATTGATGATTTTCCACTTGGAAACTATTCACACTGAATTCAATAACAACAATATGAAATATTTATTTGTTTTTTTCCAAAAAATCATATCACTCTACTTATCTTATCTAAATGTTATCTCTTAAACTTCATTTTTAAAGATCATTATCTCTTTTTATTATCTAATTGACAATCAAAGATAATTTGAGGATGTGTTTTTCATTAATCGTGTTTATGAAGAGCATAAATTCAATATTTACCTTATCCGTTTTTAAATGATATCCTCTTTTAAGTTAATAGACTCTCTTATTAAGAGAATAATATCCAATACTTATACCATTAAGAAACCTTTTACACTTAGAAAAGTCTTTATAAGTAAAAATTAAATAAAGAATAATCAACTTTGTTACTGAAGAAACATATTTGAATCTGAATTTCTTTGAAGATTACTTATTCTAATTATTAAGTAGCTTATTTTGCACTTTCATAATCTTATAAAAGCATTTTCATTTAATCAAAAATAGTTCTTAATTATCAATAAATCACAACTTATTAATACTAAATAATGTAACATAGAAGTAAATTAACACAAGAGGCAATAAAATTTATTTTATGTGTGTATAATGAATTTAATTACTTTTTATATAAAAATGTATAGTCTAATGTAAATTAGAAGCATAGTTTAAAAGATATTTATTATAAATTATGCAAATTATATAAATATTGAATAGATTTTATATTTCAATAAATTATTTAATATGGCAGATTTTAATCCTCAAGAGAGAGTAAAAAAGATGGTTAATGCAATTAAAGCTGAGGTGATTATTAGAATAATTTGTTTAGGCTACAGAGAAGTCTGAACAAATTAAAGATATGGCTGCTTAATAATTTAGAATTGAAAAAAACAAGCTTCTTAATCAATAAAAAGAAAGAATCATTGAAGAATATAAAAAGAAAATTGAATCATATACAATCGAAAAAAGAATGTAAAAATATTAAATATTTTCGTTTAGACAACGATCATCAAAAATTAATTAATCAAGATTATCAAAGATGTAAGCACGTTTTGAATTAATTCAAAGACTTAAAGAAGAAGTTCGTTAAAAGATGGCTTAATTGATCTAAAATTAAAGTGTATATAAAGAATTATTGAAAAATTTGATTGTATAAGGAATGATAAAATTATTGGAACCTCGTATTGAATTAACATGTTTGGAATAAGATGTACAATTAGTAGGATCAATTTTGAGTGAGTGTCAAGTGGAATTTCAATAGATCATCAAAAGAGAGACTACAAAAGACTTCAAAACAACACTTAGCATCAATCAAAGTCAATACTTAACAGAGAAAAATGGGAAACCTATGTATAAAATAGATTCATAGTAGATTGGGTGGAGTTGTACTTAGTTGTGCAAATAGTCGAATTGTATGTTCAAATACACTTGATGATAGATTGGAGCTTTCATTGTAAGAGTTTTTGCCAGACATTAGAAATGGTTTATTTAGAAAATGATTGGAAAGTACATAGAATAAATAAAAAAATAAATAAAAATTATAAACATCAATATGGTAAGTAGTAGCATGAATCTACAAACATTTCACAATAATTTAATCTAAGTAATTATTACTACAATTCTTAGTGTAGTTAAGACAGATTGTTTTTGTGATCACATTTGTAATTTCGTTGTTTTTCAAGTATTTCTTTGTTTCTATTTGTTATATCATTTAACATAATTTCCATTTGTTTGGCATTTTCAATCTTCAAAGAGGATCGATCTAAAATTTCTTTTTTTTTAAATTCAATGTCATCATATTTATCATGATTAAAGTTTAATTAATCAATAAAATACACTTATTATAACAATCTTTATTTAATTTATCTAAAATATGAAGATTGATTGATAGATTTGATTCTATTTTAACTTTTGTTAAGAAATTGGGCAAAATTGCTTTCACTTTACAAAGCCAGAGTAAATTATTCTATAAAATAATTGATTTACACAAATCCATTATTTTATTCTTCATTTTTAAATAAACTTTACATAGCTAAATTAGGTAATGCTAAAAGTCTATATTAATTTGGATGTATTGATTTAGTATATGGCATGAAGAATCTCTATCCATAATAATCATAATAAGGAATTTTAGTATGATTAGGAATGAAGTATTCTTACTTATTAAGTAATTTGAAGGGTTGAATAAAAATTAACAACTGAGGGTTTTTAATTTTGAAATTAGTCAAGACATTCGAAATATCAACTACAAAAGTGTCTATTTTATAATCAAGGATTTAAAAAGCACCATTAATTTTTAATTTTTTTTCATTGATTAGATCTTTAAGAATTTGTGAATAATTAAGAGTGTAAATTCCTACCTAATAAACCCTACATATGGAATTGAAAAGTTCTTTGATGTTTTTGTGTATATAAAAGGAGGAATTGGATGTAGCTCTTTAAAAATAATGATCTCTTATTACTAAATATTCTTCATGTTATTTACTACCAATAAAATCAGGTTATAATCCAAAAAAACTGGATTCATCATAACCTAACACATTTTCGAATTGAATCATAACCAAATTGCTAATATTATTTGGACAAGGTTTAATTAATAAACAGTCAAGTTTCATGCCTTCAATTTTGTCATCAACAATGTTATAAGTATTTTTTTTAAAAGAAGTTGTAGAATTTGTATTGTTCAAAGTAGATCTTCTAATCATTAATTATTATCTAAGATTTTTGAGGGGTGTTACAATTTAATCAGTGTTAGAAATCTATTTTTATTTTAATCGAAACTATTCTTGACTACGATCTTTCTTAGTACTTTTAGGACTTATTGATTAGAATCCAAATTCCTTTTTTGAATCCAAAATGTAAGAGTTATCAATCTAATTAGAAGTGTTATCAAAATTTTTGAGAAGCGTTCCCTTATAAATTCTTCCTGGAACTTTGTGAGTCTCATTATTATTTACTTTAAAATGTGATGGTGAGGGAGTGGTAATTTTATTTTTTAATTTTTAAACAAATCTATCTGTTTTTGTTTATCTATTTGGAATATTTTCAAAACAATTACTAACATTTAAAATTGATTCTGCCAATCGAGTGAATGATTATTTGATACCTTTATGCTTTACCAAATGAGGTTGTATTTCTTTTGATTCTAAATTCATTGTTCTTTATTTCATAAATTATTTATAGTCTTTTTTCCAATATCCCATGATAAGTTTTCTGGGTGAATAGGATGTATTAGTTCTACCAACTTCTGGTTTAGTTATTTGAGATATATAGTAATCATTTGAATAATAGTACTCAACTGGATTGTACATAATTGAATAATTATTATATATAATTGATTATTTCATTATTATTACTATTTTATTCCTAAGACATGAAATTCTATTGCTTCTTTAAGTTTAGTATACTTATCGATTAAATCATCGGGAATAAGAGTAAGCATTCTCATTGATTATTAAATTCCTGCTTAGACTTTGGCAATATAAGAGATCCACAAAAATAAAAAGACTAAGATCAAAAATCCTACAAATCCAACAAAATTGTAAATCTATACTTCATTACGAATATTTAAGAAGCTAGTAATAATAATAAATGAAATATCCTTACTTATAAAAGCATTCTTAGAAAATATTATTATTTTCCCAAAAAGTAGGTAGAATATATTTTCGTAATAGTTCTTGTATTTAGAATGCACTTAAACTATCTTTCAGATTCGAGTATGTAGCCAATAATTCATTATTTCCCAAAGAAACAAGGAAAATTGCATCTCTTAATCCTTTAGTTAATAGTCCTCCTTTTACTGAATTACATTCTTTATCTAATTCTGATGATGTGAATGTATAATTAGTAAAATTATCTATAGTAGAACCAACAAAGATAAATGACTAAGTAATAAGATCTAATGTATTGATCCATGTGATATGTTCACAAATATTTAAGAAATTGACATCATTAAAGAAGGCAAAATAGTTATCAAATGAAGTAGGATATTAATATGTTAAAGTTTAGAATAAATCTTATTCGTTTTAATATACCTGTTCATTGTAATATTTGGATAGATCATTTTCCATATAGAATCTAGGTTTTCCATCATTAACTAAAGCTTCTAATGTGAAAAGGATATTGTATTTTATAATGCTAGCTCGACGAGAGATAAATAAATAGTGATCCATAATTAATTTAGCATCACTTATTGATTCATCTTCTAAAACATACAACACTATATATTCAATCATTAAAAGTGAACCTATCAATATAAATGAAAATATTAAGAAATAATGGGTACCTCCTTTACTATCATAGATTCTCTAGTGTTTTTCTTTAGTTTAATCAAAAAGTGATTTTCTCTGCTCTATTTCAACTTTTTATTTTGGGCTGTCCACAACATCTTGACTGTGATCTTGATTTAAAGAACTTCCCACAATATTTTATTATTGTGGCTAATCGATTTAAATGATATCATCAGAACTTTTAAATTTTGTGATGTGATCTAAAATAAATTTATCACCTTAATCAATTAAGTTTTTGATATCTTCATTAGTAATCATACCAAAATAACTAATTAATCTTTTTCGTTCACTGAAAATGCTCATGAAAATTGGTACATAAACAATTTCACAAATAACAATAATTACTAAAGCAGCAATTAGAATTATAATAGCATTAAGAGTTTAACTATCAACTTGATCATAGTAAAAATTATAAAATTTATCAGCAATTCTTTCAGATCCATTTCTAAGAACATCTAATCCATTTTCAACAACATAAAATAAATTCTTAGAAACACTACTTGAATTGGATGTATCATTAAATTATGAGAGAGTTGCTTTTTTAAATGAAGAAGCGGAAGTAATATAAGCAAATACAGCATCATTAAAAATATTACCATAGGTTTTAGTTTCATTGTTAGAAAGTAGAAATACAACCTCATATTGATCATCGTCAATCTATAAACCACTTCTACTTTCTACTTTAATTCTAAATTCAATCATATCAAACTATATCACTTATAATCTATCAACTAGAACACTTATATTACCTTTAAATGGACCCTCTAAAGATTATTCATAATATCCAAAAGATGTTAAATATAAATAACGACTATATAAATTAATATCTGCCATCAAAGAATGTCTTCGATGTGCTTAACGTATTGCACTTATACCTTCATCTATCAAAATCGATTATTGTAATGCTAAAACCAATTTACTTATAGACAAAGCCAAAGTAGATAGGAATAATATCAAAGTCAAATATCTAAGATAAATGATCTGCCTGGGAGTCTTGGATTATTCTAAAGCACTTCTAATATCTTTTGTTTATTTGTTTTCTTCTTAATCATCAATTGATGATTAAAAATTCTTTTATTTATCTTCATCTTCATCAATTGATTATTATTATTGTATTATATTATGCTTACTTTCATCCAACTTTTATTTTATTAATGATTTTCCATAATTCACTTTATCTTAATCTATATCTTCTCTAATCACTATTGTATGATATATACCTCCACCTACTGGCTATCCATCATCAGTCAAAGGCATTCTTTCTTCTATAAGTTCCAATTTTACCTTAACCTTTTTAAAATCTCCACTATAATTCATAACTGCTGAATCCTTTATTGATCCTCCCATTTTCTTATTATCTGAATCGTGTATGTTTGATTATAATAGCTATTTAAATAATTGAACATCAATTGTAGTTTCAGCACAATATACTTCACCTTCTAACTTATACACTTAATTCTTTAGTGGTTAATCGTTTTAATTTAGAGTATTATTTAACACATCTCCTAATTCCTTAAATAAATTTCCAAACGTATAAATTGGTTATTCTTAAGCACTAGTTGTTGCAATATCTTCAACTCTTATTCCTAAATCTTTCATCGATTCACTAACATTCAAAATTTATTATGAAATTCCATCATATATCATATAATGTGTCCCAGGTAATTTTTCTAAAGGTTTTAAAAAACCAACCAAAAGTATTCCTTTTTCTAAGTTTGGTAATACTTTGATCATTAATTTACAAGGTACCAAATATTATTGAATATTTTAAGCTAACACAAATCTTTCTAATCCAATTATACTTGAATTGCTTGTTTTCATATAGTTTTCAACTAACAAATTATGTTAATCCCCAATAATTTTGGGCATAATTTTACTTACATTCTATTCAAATAATTCAGAAGCAGGATAACCCAAAGACTTTTAAATCTCATTATTGCAACTAGCAACTATTCCTATACTACCCACATTGGCACTCATTGTAATTATAATTGTCTCTTATGATTCAGTTATCTTAGATTCTTAACCTCCTCCTTGTTTTCTTTAATATATTGATTTCTTAATTTAACTTATCTACTAAGATAATTACTCTTATTATTCCTTATCATGAACTACCATTTTTAAGTAAGCATTATAAAACTCTAATAAATTTAAATTGTTATTATTTATTTCTACTAATTCTTAATACCCTTCATCACATAGATCAATCTAATGCAATACTTTTAATCCAATATTTTATAATTTTAATATATTTGGATGATCTTCTTATAATTCTCTCCAGAATTCTAAATGAGATTCAGCACTTTTCTATATCATATTAGTCAACACCACTAATTGATTTTAAAAGAAAACTATTGAATTCACATCGATATCTTAAGCTTTCTCTGAGTCTTCCTACATCTCACTCTCTATATGTTATTTGAATCGGAATAAACAGAATTCATCTCTTAATGTATGATTTTTAGTATCTTCGGCTTTCATCATATAATGTAAAGCATTATATTTGTTTTTTAATTCATCATTACATAAATAAGAATAAATTATCTTGAATCTAGCATTATCCTTAAACTTTTCATCTGCTATTATATCATTCAATATTGAACCAAAAAACTTCATCCAAATCTAATGTTCTTTTGTACCTTCTTCCTTCTTGTGATCTTATGAAATCAATTTTTTGCATGAACAATCTATTTTAGTACATACTACATAATGCAATTTTAAAACACCCATCAATTTTATTTTAGTATTTGGAGATTGTCTATCCAATATCAATTAAATTAAAGTGTTTAAATAATTATCTGCTTCTTCTTCATTTTTCAAGCTCTTTATTTAAAATGTCATTGATTCTTTCAAAATATTTTTGAATGCATACAATCCTCCAAATACTACAAATGGTATTAAAACAAATAAATATAATAAACCCATATCATCAGGAGAACTAGTATCTAAAAAGTCTGTAATTATAACACAGATGTTAATCCATAAAACTATTAATTCCAAAGTTATTTTATAAAAATGTCTATTTATGTAAATATTTGTAAATACATGAAATTATTATAGCCTTTCGGATAATTGTATCTTGAAAATAGGAGAATTAAATCTCCCACTCCAAATAACACAACCATTTCACTATTATACGTTCCTGGAGCATTAAAAATTATAAGAAAAGGAGTAACAAATTTGTAAAGCATACGAGCATATTCAGCATCAGATTAATATCCATTGAAAGGAAATTTTGATTTTGGACTTTTATCAATAATATCTTTACTTCAAATCAAAGTACAATAATGTGGTTGAAAAATGAAAAAAAATGAGAAAAACTATTCCGATTATGGCCACAATCATATGCAAAATGTGGATTCCCTCATAACATCCTAAATCAGCTCCAGCTGCTGAATCTGATCTACAATAGATTGTAGCCAAAAAGATATTATAAAATGGTAATGCCAAAACAGTATTCAAAATAATAAGTAATAAGGATAACAATTTAAAACTAAAAATAAGTATACCTGATTGTTGTTCTTGATATTTAAGTTAACTTAATGAATATTAGCTAATAAAAAATATTAAAACAATTATGACAATCACTCCAAAAGAAATATAAAGCAGTATTAAAAATATGGTTACACCTTAATCAATTAGATAATTAAATTGAAAGTAGCGTAAAACTATTCTGAAATAATTTAGACCTTTATTATCCCATAAGAAATCTATAACAGGATGAATTGGATAGTACATCAACTATAGATTTTCAATGCTTAACAACACGCAATAAATGAGAGTGTTGCATAAATTATTCTTTATGATATTATGCATGGTGTTAAATAAAGATATTTTGAACTTGTATTCCATCTCTTATGAAGTTCCTTTTTCTAATTAAGACTTCTTGTGATTCATAATCGACATTTTTTTAATAATAATATGTATTAAACTATTGATTTCCTAAATCAAGCTTATAAATAAATCAAAAGCTCCCTTCAATGTTAAATGTAGATAGATGAATTCGATATTATATTCTTAGGATTCTTTCTTACAATTATTTTTAATTTCTTCCTTAATCATATCAGATTACCAAGAAGAGAATACAATCAAAGTAAAAAATAATAATAAATGCAGGTTATTGGTCATTTGTAAAATCAAAAGTATTTTTGGGTTTGATAAATTATTGTCCTGGAGTATCATAATTTTTGGAAAAAAAGAAAGTAGAAGCTCTTAAATCTTTTTCTAATTCTCTTGAAAAATAGACTGCTAATAAAACATTTAAAATCCCAGAAAATGGTATGGGTTATGATAAAATAAATGAGAGATTAAGGAATTGGATTGATCGTGATAGTAAGAATTATAACAGTGGCAAAGTATCTGGTTCACTTTATGTTTAAAATGATGAAAAATTAATTGAAGAATGTTAAGAATTTACAAAGAATTTTATATATTCGAATCCTATGCATGCAGATTTATGGCCAGCTTCAAGATAATTGGAAGCTGAAGTAATCAAGATTACAGGAGAATTATTTGGATAGGATAAAGAAGGAATCGGAATGTTGACTACTGGTGGAACTGAATCAATATTATTAGCAATACTAGCATATAGAAATTGGGCAGAAAGTGAAAAAGGAATCACTTAACCAAATATGTAAGTAAATTATTTATTTTGAAGGGTAATTCCAGAAACTGCACATGCAGCATTTTATAGGGCAGGAGAATATTTTAAGATTGAAATAAGAGTTGCTAAAGTTAATTAAAAAACTTTTACAGTTGATTTAAAAGATCTTAAAAGTCATATAAATTCTAATACAATATGTATAGTTGGATCAATACCAAATTTTCCTTATGGAACAAAAGATCCAATTGAAGAGTTAGCAGCTATTGCTAAAAAGAAAAAGATTGGATTTCATGTAGATGCTTGTTTAGGTGGATTCATAGTAGCATTTGCGAAGGAGAAAGGAATGAATTATGGAAAGTTTGATTTCACTCTTGATGGTGTTACAAGTCTATCATGTGATCAACATAAACATGGATTAGCTCCAAAAGGAGCATCAACTATTCTATTTAAAACTCGTTAATTAAGATAATATGCATTCTTTTCTACAGCTACATGGTCTGGTGGTGCTTATGCTGTACCAACTACTTAAGGTTCTAAATCAGGTATTGGTGCTGCTGGAGCTTGGTTTACAATGTTAGCTATTGGTAGAAAGAAATATACTGAATTAAGTAAATCAATTATTAATGCTACTATTCAATTGGCTAAACAAATTAATGAAATACCAGAATTAGAAGTTTGTGGTTAACCAAATATTAATTGTGTATGTTTTAAAAGTAAAATTAATATTAATGTATATTCAATTCATTAAATCCTCACATAAAAAGGATGGAATATTAATACAACTTAAAATCCACCTGGAATACATATCAGTGTTACACATTAAAATATTCCTAATCTGAAACTATATGTTTAAGATATTAAAGAAGCTATTCAAGAAGTAAACTTATCTTATTATTATTAATCTTTAGATCAAAGCTAATCCATCTAAATATAAAAAAGGAGGTGAAATGGGTGCATTATATGGTACTACTCAAAAAATACCTAATTCTAAATTTGCTGGAAATGCTCTTAAATTATATTTGGACTCCGTACTCAAATTATGAGAGAACAATCTGAGTGTAAAATTATTATTACATATTTGAAATAAAAGAATTTATCTATATATTTCAATCATCTTCTGTAAATTATTATAATTGTCTTCCTATTTTTACAAAAGACTTATTTAGGCCTATTTTTTTTCTATTTTCACAAAATACATAAATAGGCTAAATTGAAAAAGTTAGATAAATTCGTAAATTAATATCTTATAAAATTTTAAAAAGTTTACAAAAAAAATATAATTTTTGCTTTTACTTTTAAAGAATATAAATTATAAATTAATAATACTCATTGATTTTACATGTATAAAACTCTTTCTGCTTGTAATTTTTGATATTATTCTTCAGGAATCAAATTGATTGCATTTGTTATGCTGAAAAAACTTTTCAAAAGATCTGGAGTGAATTTCTGGTTTCTTTATATAAATTTAATAAATACCTATAAACATATGGATAATTTTAAATTCCTTTCTTACAGACCATAAATACTGGAGTGTAAGGGAAATCTTAAATGCATGATGGTTTATTATGATCATTGTTCATTCTCCCAAAAATCATTGTTGGGTTTTCTTATTTATATGATTCTAATGCTAGATTCTCATAATATTAACCATATTCCCCACAAGCATGACAATTTTTAGAATACTAAAAGATTGCATAATCTTTTTTGCTTTCCATTACTTCTTTTTAAAATGTCTTACCAACTAATTTGATAGAATACTTTTTATATTTTGGTTATTCTGAAGATTAAAAATACTCATTGGCATATCCATTCTTTACAGCCATAAAAAATGAAATTAATGAATCCTTACTTACTTAAATTTATTCATCTAATCTATAAACATAACTATGAGCTTATCCAAACTCATTGAATACACTTAATTTTCTCATTATATCCATATTAGTTTCTTGATGTTATCTCAAACGATCTCCATATTTTTCATCATCCCTCACATATACTTAATAACCTAAATGATTATCTTTTGGTGTTTTATTCAAATAAATAAACTCAGTCTTATTTAATAATTCAGGATGGGTCTCTTTAAGGTACTTTTTCAATTCTCCAAAAGCTTTAACTAATCTGGTTTCTTCATGTTTTGGTATTTTATTCAAATCCAATTCCAAAACAATTGAATATTTTGTACTTGATTTACCAAAACTTCTGTTTGAAAAAACATTTACATCATTGTATGCCTAAGTCAAGTCTTCCATTACTTTTTCTACTGATTTACCACTTAAAGTATCAGCTGGTGTAATTAGTAACTTTTTATTGTTAATAGTTATGGAGGATTAAAAATTATTTAATTTACTACTCTTTTATAAAAAAAATAATTGTCCATTTTGAATGTTTTAAATACCTAATTTATTTGCAACAGCTTTATCAATTAAGATCCAATGTAATTTTTCATTTTTTTGATAATTATCATTTTATTACATAATACAAAATCTTGTTTATACATTTTTATATTATGGTGATGTTTTATCAGCATAAACTAAAACAGCAGTTTCAGTGGAGGGTAAATATGATAAAATTTATTCGAATTCGTTAAATTTTTTTTGTGTTAATTTATTTATTTTCTTAAAATAATTGATTAAAAGAATTCTATTTTCGAAATAATCATTTGCATTGAAATTATAAATCCTTTAAATATATTTATTCTTTAAAAGCATAATAGTATCTTATTCAATTATAATTTTGTACTTTTACTCAAAATCCATAATTAATTTTTCAGTGATAGGTTCATTTAAAGTTAAAATTTTAAATGGTCTTTTTGACCTTAGTTTCTAAACTTTCGCAACTTAATCAATCACTTAAAGTAATTCATCGAAAAAATAATCTACAAATCTGTCTGGATCTACAACAATAATGATATCATGTGTCTTAATAATAAATAATTAATATTTACTTAATGAATTTATTCATAAATTTAATCAGAGAATTTTTCGTATTTATTGAAACCATTATTTGAGACTTCTGGATTAGGGGTAGTAGATGCATTTACTCTTTTTGAATAGAAAACTAAGTGAGAAGTTAATAAAGAAAGAGCAACAAGTTTTGGAGTAGCAATTTTAGGTAAATATCTGAAAAAGGGGATGCAAACTCGTCTGAATAGGTTCATTTTATTTTAATTTATGGTTATTTATATTTTTAATTTATGACAGAAGCAGAATAAACATTTTATGTCTCTCCTATTGCCAATCCTATAGCCAATAGTAAATTATAAAAAGGACTTCTTAGATTTATTGCTAGATGTAATGCTTCATTGATCAATTAGAAATCACTATTAAGCATATTAAGAGAGGAGTAAAGGAAGTAGGAAAAGCATTAAGAAAGAAGACTCCTGGAATTGTTATCTTTGCAGCTGATATTAGCCCAGTAGATGTATTATCACATTTACCAATTTAATGCGAAGAATTAGGTATACCCTACATTTATGTGAGAAGTAGATTAGAATTAGGTAATTTTATATATATTGATCTATTTAGGAGCTGCTGCATAAACTAAAAAACCTACAAGTGTTGTCTTAATCTAAGTACCAACCAAAGATGATGTGAAAGGATTAGAAAAATATCATGAATTATTTGAAAAAGTTAAAGAAAGCAATCCATTCATCTGATTGTTTATTCATTTATCAATTCTAATTGATAATTAGATCTATAAATTAATTACTTCCTATCATTTAATAGATTATGTTCTCTAAGTTTCACTTAGTTCTTTCTCATATTAAAATATTAGCATACATTTTATAAGCATTTTAGATTATTCTAAGATTTAAGATTTAGCAAGATCTTGATTATTATAACAATCATATTACTTCTCAAATTAATAATGGCAATTACTTCTATTTATTTAATAATAAAATAAAATTCAATTACTATCTATTTATTAATGTTAAACTCTAACTTCAACTCCTGTGATCAACTCATAGAAACAACTAAATCAGATAATTTTGAATAACAAGATTTCTTTCTTAAAGAAAACGCAAATCAATAGTAAATATAGACTTAAAAAAAAGAGGAGAACATTAAAAAATAATTTAATCAAGAACATAAATAAACTAATACAAATGAATTAAGATAAGATCAATATTAAAACCAGAATAAAGCCTAAAATGAATATATTAATATATCATAATACCTAGAATCATAGCTAGAAAGGTACAAATAGATCGAAATCTAAATTATTCATGATAAAGATAAAGGAGTTGTTAAACAGATTATGTCATCTATTCAATCTCAATTAGATAAACTCAAATCCAATACTCTCGATCCAAACTCAGACAATAACAGTAAATTTGGAGAAATTAGTTTAATCAAAGAGTAGAATTAAACTGATGAGTCTTTTTATTCTAATTCTAAGATACAAGCCAATCTTAAAGAAATATATAAATTTTATTCAAAGATATCTTATGGTCGTGGCCCTTCTGATGATTTCACTAGAATAAATCATGAATCTAATATAATGACTGAGGGCAAATTTATGATTTTTTGTCGACAGTTTGGGTTGATGGCTAAAAAGATTCCTCATATGCACACATAATCTAAAACAAATGATATGAGCAAAAATGTTATCTTAACACAAAATTCAAATACTCTAATTCAGAGCATTTTGAATAGTAATTAAAATGAAAATGTTAAGTACTTGTCATTTAAAGAACTAGTATTTAATTTTAATAATTTATTAGAATAATTTATTTAGAAAAGTTAACAAAAACTAAAATGAAGTAACTTATGTAAATTTTTTGCTATTATTATAAGAAATTTCTAAATTAATATTTTTTAAGGAACCAAAAAGAGCTGAAACTTTGTTATACAAATTGATGGAAATAGATGGTACAGAATTTCGAAAAAAATTAAAATCACTTTATATTCCATTTAATTCAAAAGATTAACCTGGTTTTCGTAAACCTAAAGGCCTTATTTAATTAAAATGTGGCAATCATTCAACTGATTAACTCAAATCAAAAAGATTATTGATTGACGAATGGAAAAATGGTAAAAAGGAATAATTAAGAAACAAATTGATAAGCTAAGCAAATTAATCTAGATCTAAATCGATTATCTATGAACCATTATATGTAAAAACAAGTAGCTATAAAGAAAGAAAATTAAGAAAAATTGGATTAGATTCACAATCACATTAAATATTAAATTTGGAAAAGTTAGATTAGTTAGATCCAAAACTTTTTTTACTAGAAAATTTTAAGCCTTTTGATTTAATTTAAGAAGATGAAGATAGTGAAGATAAATATTACCTTAAAAGTTATGATCTATCTAGATCTGAAAAAAAAAGTGAAATTAAGTAAAATTTTGTTGTAATTAAGACCATTATCAAATGAAAAAAAGATTCCAGTTTAAAAAATGAAAACTGAATCCATAAATAAAAGAACTCAGATTTTATCTAAAATTGATAGTAGAATTGAAGAATACTAGGCTTATTTTAAATTGCCCAGATTATAGAATAAATGATATTAATAATTTCATTTATAGTTTTCCAAATATTATTTATAAAATGAGAATTTATGTTAATTAGTTTTGGTTCTTATATTTAATTATTGATTATTAAGCATCAAATAATATTATTTATTCAAATATATTTTCATTCCATAATTTAGGGATCTTCACTCTTTTATTTTTTTATAAGAAAAATCATATTTCTTAGCAACTGATAATATATCTTCATTAAAAATTTATACAAATCCATTAAATAGAATCTCTAATTTAGATGATATATTAAATGAAAATAGAATTACAACAATTTCTTTCATTACCAATTTGTTGTCTATGAAAGATTCATATTTAAATCATTTTCACCCAATTTTGGCATAAAATTTGTTTCTAAAAAAATAAAATATCCCTTTCTTCCAATCTGAATATTAATTATCAATTCAAAAATCTTATTAATCAAACTGATTAAAAGTAAATTCTATAAATATTTTTAATTATTCTTACATCACTGTAAATTATCATTAGTAAAAAATAGAAAGAAAAAAATTTTTGATTTAATTTTGAAGAAGTTTGAATACTAATTGTAGATTTTTAAGGAGATTGATTATTCAAAGAAGATGCTTGCTATGTTTATTTATAAGTTTCTTTTATAAATTAATTATATTAAACAAAATATATAAATATTTTAATAATATTAAATATTATTTTTTTTAAACTTACAAATATGTCTTATAAAGATTTATCATAATTTTTTTTAAATGATCAATCCTAATTATTTACTAAGATATCTTTTAGGAGAAACAAGTAATAAAGCAGTTAAGCATGTGTCAATCGAATCTTTTTGCATCTTAAGCAAATATTTGCCTAATAAAAAAATAATTATCAGTCCAAATAAGCCAACACTTAATGTGAATATGAGTAACAATCTTTTGTATAAATCTAAAAGTTAATTAAATAAGTCTTTTTGAATGCTTATAAGTTTTTAATAAGCTTTAATCAATATTTCACTTCCATAATCAATATAAAGAATATGTTACTAATTATTGTAAAAATCAATTAAGGTTTATTTATTATTAGCAACAGCATGAGTATCNATTAAGACCATTATCAAATGAAAAAAAGATTCCAGTTTAAAAAATGAAAACTGAATCCATAAATAAAAGAACTCAGATTTTATCTAAAATTGATAGTAGAATTGAAGAATACTAGGCTTATTTTAAATTGCCCAGATTATAGAATAAATGATATTAATAATTTCATTTATAGTTTTCCAAATATTATTTATAAAATGAGAATTTATGTTAATTAGTTTTGGTTCTTATATTTAATTATTGATTATTAAGCATCAAATAATATTATTTATTCAAATATATTTTCATTCCATAATTTAGGGATCTTCACTCTTTTATTTTTTTATAAGAAAAATCATATTTCTTAGCAACTGATAATATATCTTCATTAAAAATTTATACAAATCCATTAAATAGAATCTCTAATTTAGATGATATATTAAATGAAAATAGAATTACAACAATTTCTTTCATTACCAATTTGTTGTCTATGAAAGATTCATATTTAAATCATTTTCACCCAATTTTGGCATAAAATTTGTTTCTAAAAAAATAAAATATCCCTTTCTTCCAATCTGAATATTAATTATCAATTCAAAAATCTTATTAATCAAACTGATTAAAAGTAAATTCTATAAATATTTTTAATTATTCTTACATCACTGTAAATTATCATTAGTAAAAAATAGAAAGAAAAAAATTTTTGATTTAATTTTGAAGAAGTTTGAATACTAATTGTAGATTTTTAAGGAGATTGATTATTCAAAGAAGATGCTTGCTATGTTTATTTATAAGTTTCTTTTATAAATTAATTATATTAAACAAAATATATAAATATTTTAATAATATTAAATATTATTTTTTTTAAACTTACAAATATGTCTTATAAAGATTTATCATAATTTTTTTTAAATGATCAATCCTAATTATTTACTAAGATATCTTTTAGGAGAAACAAGTAATAAAGCAGTTAAGCATGTGTCAATCGAATCTTTTTGCATCTTAAGCAAATATTTGCCTAATAAAAAAATAATTATCAGTCCAAATAAGCCAACACTTAATGTGAATATGAGTAACAATCTTTTGTATAAATCTAAAAGTTAATTAAATAAGTCTTTTTGAATGCTTATAAGTTTTTAATAAGCTTTAATCAATATTTCACTTCCATAATCAATATAAAGAATATGTTACTAATTATTGTAAAAATCAATTAAGGTTTATTTATTATTAGCAACAGCATGAGTATCGAAAAATTAGGGATACTGAGCTATTATTGTACTTATTTAGGTTAAAAGAGATTTCATTCCTTATTCATAGTGAGGAATCATTTCAGGATTTAATTAGATAGCATCAGTTAATGAACAATCAATTCCTATTTCCTATTTGCAAATGTTTTCTTCATTTAAAAAATTAAAGTTATTTTATAATGATTAATCAACAAAAGTTGAAAGCAATTAGTTTTTATATTTTTCAAAAAAAATATCAGTTGTATTATCACTAAGAACTGCAGAGTACATTTAAAATTAAGAGATATTCATGATATTTTAGTAAGTATTGCTTTATAAGGTTGAATGAGCTATTAAATCAACATTATTAATTAAGTTGATAATTGAGGACTGGGCTAATTTGGATTAAAATATAGCATCAATATTGAAAATAATGTCTTATGATAGAATAAAAATAATAAGAAAGACAATAAGGAAATATGCTAGAATTACAAGTAATCCAACCATTAATATTGCGATATATTTATTTTGATTCATTTTTGATTTTTTCAATTTTTCCATTAATTTATTTTTACTTTTTTTATTTGAATTAGAAACCATTCCGGTATCAGAATTATTTACCTTTTATATTCCTAAATTATGAGTGACAGACCTCCGATGCTAATTTATTTCAAACATTTATGTTTCCTATACAAAATCAATTAACATCCATTCATAAATTGATTTTTTTAATATATTGACTACAGCATTGTAAATTTCAATTTCATCGTTGACTTCATGAGGTTCTAGTTTAATAATTTCTTTATAAAGAGTTCTATGATTTCTCCTTAACTTTCCAATAAGAGGAATTTATGTAAACTATAGAACAGTTACCAAAAAGAATGTAACAACCATATATATTATTAAAATAGTTTGAATATGTTTTTGATCATTAAGATTTTCTTAATAGCATGAATCGTATGCTTTTTAAGGAAGTTTTCCAACTTCTTTGAGATTAGCAACTGATGCAAATGTAAGAGAGAAATCGACTATAAATGAATCATTGCTATTATTATGCTTGAGTTTATAATATTATCCAAGACTTAATTAAATTACTTCTTATAATGATGTATTTTTTTGAATTTTGTTTTCAACATCATAAAACTATTCAAAATTTTAGGTTGCTTAATTGATTTCGATTGAATATTAATTTTACATGTTGATTAGATCATGAAGTTAACCAAAAAATTAATTATTATAAAATTATTTCAAAATACCCATGCCTTGAATTGATAATTGATTTGAAATTTCAATCCTATATAAACTATGTGTAATTTATGCAAATGAAGTTTAAATGGTGATCATTAATTCAATTAAATCAAGACAATTATTGAAATCATATTATCCTTAAGTTGATGTCGAAATAAGCATAATGTAACAAACTATCAAAATAAATGTGGCTGAAAATAAATATTTTTATAATCTATATGAATATGGATTGTTTATCAAGTTAAGTTATTATTAAACTAAATTATATTAAGTTTCAAACAATTTTAGATTTTCAGTATATTTAATTTAATATTCTTCAAAAATTTATTATTAGGAATGCTTACTTTCTTAAGGTAGTTTAGATTCATTTTCATTATAAAATTCTTATTATTTTTTTTTTTAACTAAATTTAATAAAAACACTTTAAGCTAATTCTTTTTCTGTAATATTAAATTTTGAATTTTTAAATTAAGCATCTCCGACACTATGTTCTGATTATATTGAAACTTAACTTTTCCTATTTATGTCTTTGCTATTTTTGTCACTAATTTCTAATAAAGGTTTACTCTATTTAGATCTATTACTTAATAAAAATAGATCACCCTTATCGTCTTACTTTGGACTGTAAATTTAATCAGTAATTAAAACTTCTTTGTTATCTATTTGATAGGCATCATCAATAAAATATGAAGGATGAGAAGGAAATTGATAGTTTATAATTTCTTAATCTTGAAAACTCTTTTACTCACTAAAATTAGCTTACACACTTATGGAATCTTCTTCATCAGTTTATTATTCTATGAGTTACTTTTTTTAATGATAACTTTAATAAATTTACTTAATTGTATCTCTCAATTATCTTCTATAACCTTTTTCTGTATTTAGTAATTATTATTCATTAACTACTAATTCAACAACAAATATTTATTATTTCTAATCAACTTCATTTTTTCTATACCAAAATTCTTCATAACTAACTGAATACATAACTGGAACAGGATGAAAATCTTGCGGTGAAAATCTTTCAATATATCTTGTATATCTATCTTGATAGATTCTTTCTGCTCTTGTTTTTAATTACTCACTATCTTCTTAACTATCATCAGATGATTATTTTTCTTATATTGATAATGGAGAGGATGGTTTGGCTTAATGTTTCGTCATTTCAGATTATTTTGTTTAAGCTAAATTAAGTGTTTAATGTCTTTTTAAATGTTCATCATAAAAAAATACACATAATCTCTCATTGAATATCGTAACAGCATTAAATTGATCAATTTCTTGATAATCATTTTTTTAAGATTTATATGCACTTCCAGATGAAAAATTATTTGATTAAACTCTTACTTCATCAACTATTTTTTAAATTATTTTTTCGTATTATTAAATAAACAAATTAATATCTTCAGGAATAAATAAATATGTTTCTTTATTTTAAACTAAAAGATTACTATTATCTAAATCAATCAGATTTTGATAACGATTTTTTGGAGGTACTTATCTATTCATCAAAAATTCTATTCCAGTTGATTCTATTTCTCTAGAAATAAATGGTAAAATCATCCAAATTAAAACTTTACTATAAAAATCATCAATTGATAATACAACATTTGACCATTTTTAATCAAATGCATTATAACTAATCATATAAATTAAATTTACCTCTCAGATTCTTAAGAAGAATTATCTGACCTTGATATTTTATTGCTTTATTTAAACTCCTCTGCTTCATGATACNTCTCCGACACTATGTTCTGATTATATTGAAACTTAACTTTTCCTATTTATGTCTTTGCTATTTTTGTCACTAATTTCTAATAAAGGTTTACTCTATTTAGATCTATTACTTAATAAAAATAGATCACCCTTATCGTCTTACTTTGGACTGTAAATTTAATCAGTAATTAAAACTTCTTTGTTATCTATTTGATAGGCATCATCAATAAAATATGAAGGATGAGAAGGAAATTGATAGTTTATAATTTCTTAATCTTGAAAACTCTTTTACTCACTAAAATTAGCTTACACACTTATGGAATCTTCTTCATCAGTTTATTATTCTATGAGTTACTTTTTTTAATGATAACTTTAATAAATTTACTTAATTGTATCTCTCAATTATCTTCTATAACCTTTTTCTGTATTTAGTAATTATTATTCATTAACTACTAATTCAACAACAAATATTTATTATTTCTAATCAACTTCATTTTTTCTATACCAAAATTCTTCATAACTAACTGAATACATAACTGGAACAGGATGAAAATCTTGCGGTGAAAATCTTTCAATATATCTTGTATATCTATCTTGATAGATTCTTTCTGCTCTTGTTTTTAATTACTCACTATCTTCTTAACTATCATCAGATGATTATTTTTCTTATATTGATAATGGAGAGGATGGTTTGGCTTAATGTTTCGTCATTTCAGATTATTTTGTTTAAGCTAAATTAAGTGTTTAATGTCTTTTTAAATGTTCATCATAAAAAAATACACATAATCTCTCATTGAATATCGTAACAGCATTAAATTGATCAATTTCTTGATAATCATTTTTTTAAGATTTATATGCACTTCCAGATGAAAAATTATTTGATTAAACTCTTACTTCATCAACTATTTTTTAAATTATTTTTTCGTATTATTAAATAAACAAATTAATATCTTCAGGAATAAATAAATATGTTTCTTTATTTTAAACTAAAAGATTACTATTATCTAAATCAATCAGATTTTGATAACGATTTTTTGGAGGTACTTATCTATTCATCAAAAATTCTATTCCAGTTGATTCTATTTCTCTAGAAATAAATGGTAAAATCATCCAAATTAAAACTTTACTATAAAAATCATCAATTGATAATACAACATTTGACCATTTTTAATCAAATGCATTATAACTAATCATATAAATTAAATTTACCTCTCAGATTCTTAAGAAGAATTATCTGACCTTGATATTTTATTGCTTTATTTAAACTCCTCTGCTTCATGATACGTTCCTCTATTAACTACTAATCTCTACATTTTTTCAATCATCTTATATAGACCTCTAGTTATTCCCATAATATTTCCATTTACATCAAATAATATATGTTAATATCCTTTAAATGCCACATTTTTCAATCGTTTACCATCTTCTCCAATAAACTTCGGTTATTCTTCTTCTAATGATTTTAAGCATCCAATCATTGTAAAATCATCTTCTAGTTCTTAACTAAAATTATGAGCTAAATAGACTTGACATTTTATTAGTGTTTTATCATACAATTTAGCAAAAGTCTAAAAATATTTACCAATTCTTGCTGTTACTCCTCTTCTAATATAATTTTACATCATTTCATCATGAACTGGCTCCAACCAAGCAGGCATTAATTAATTAATATTTCCTTTAGTATAATCTAAAAATGAATTTAGTGGATGCTAGAAATGACCAAATCCAAAAAATTTTGGAATCAATGGGGAAATCACCTTGTTCATCACTTTTCCGATATTTGGTCCAAATGCTATACAAACTTTTACAGAAATGGCTTCTCCCTTAAAAAAATTGATATTTGTTATTTCAAATGTATTCATATTTTTTTCAAACGATAAGATTTCCTTACGTTCTATTAAATAATATTAAATTTCATTATTTACCTTTTTCCATTTCAAAATACTTTCTTAAATTATTAAATAAAAGTAGATTTATCAAAGCATTGAACTTTAAAAATTAAACATTGTAGGTTCTACCATTATGATAAAAAATTGGTTAATATACGTCCAACTAAAGTATCACTGCATCTCGCAATTACTATAATTTTCTAATTTCTTATTCGATCTGAGAATATTCTGTAAATTTGCCCTCTTTAAATGATTTCCAAAATTATTATTTAAATTAACTTATTGAGAATAATAATGGCATGATATTGTTTTTAACTTATTCCATTTAATATAAATCTTACACTATACTATGTTCACTCTTACTTACTTATAATTTCACATTAGATACTCTTGTATCCTTATTCATATTGTAATCTTCATCTTTTCTTAATTAAGCCTACAATATTTATTGTAATACAAGACACATTTATACAAAAAAAAATGAGTAATCTTTTTTTTTTTAAAATAAAATCTTTAATTCTTAATAACTTTTTGGAGCATTATGCTTGTATTTATTGATGAATGTTAGAAATTTAAGACTGAAGATTTCAAACACTCTTAAATTTTATTAATTGTGCTTGTATTTTTCAAAAGTACTTTTAAATAAACATGAAATCATCAAAACTACTTGATTAAATTATAAAATATTTTAAGCTCCTATCTTTCTACATTAACATTTTGTTGAATTACATCTATTCATATGCAAAGCTAATTTTTAAATAAATTCAATTTCTTTTTATTTATTTTTTTAAGCCAATTAGCTTAATTCAAAAAAATCTTCTATATATAGTAAATCATAATATTAATTTCTAGTGATATTGCTAGATATATAGACATTTGATCTCTTACTCTCAAAAAGAATTTAAAACAAATATTAGACAATAGGTTGCATTATCAACATAATTGTGGCTAAACTATAAGGACTTGCAGTATTAAAAGCTTTAATTGATGAGAATGTAAAAATTACAGAATGTGTCATCAAAGCTCGGTTTAATGTAAAACCTGATGAAGAGAATCTACGGATTAATTTAATTTTTACCCTAATGGCAGTGAAAAATAGGCATCATAGATCTAGATGATTAAAATTAAGCCATGCAAAGTCCTACTGATAAGTTGAGTGGTTTCATCATTATTTAAGTATAATAGAGCCATAGGTACCATTAACAATTAAGCGATTAAGTCACTATATGAAAAATGCTTTCTTAAATGTTGTTCATTAAATTCAAAATTAACAAAATAGACATTTGAAATGATTAGACTTAATATTGTGAATATTAGCACTACTGAAGCTAGAATTACTGGAGAAACACTTGAATAGATATAATTCCAACCAATGTAGTAAAGTTAAGGTAAATATAGAAACCATGGAAAATAAAGAAAATAATAATTGACAATCTTTGTTGAGACCTTTGATATTTATAATATATTTTTACTTGTAAAATACTTTTAGAAATGTTATGATTTCTGTTAGTAATTTTTCTGTATATTATGATGATGTAAGGTACAATATTAAAGAAAATAATTGTTGCTCCAATAAGTATGTTTATAGAGTATGAGTCTATAAATAAAGGGGTGATTAAACTAATTCTTGATAAAGTATTAATCAAACGATAGACATATTCTTGATTCTCACTGACTAAAAAGTAGGTTAATTGGAGGTAATAAAAAGTAATTTGAAAACTAGTAAAATACTAATTATTGAGAGATGGTGATAAGTTTGTTTAGATAATTAAACAAATTAAGTCCCCGAAAATTTTCTAATTCATTTTTATTGATATTATTTTATATCAAAAATTGTTTCATTTGATTTTAGTTTATATCAATTAAAAATTTTGATAAATAGAGCTAAATCTAAGAATTTTAGTATGCTTTTTATATATTAATTTGATGTTATCAATAATTAATTATAATTTAGAATTGTTCTATTTTTGTGTTCAGTTCCAAAATTTATAAAAATATGAAATTTAATAATAAAATATAAAACACTTATAGACTATGATGGATGACAATGTTGTGCCTTCAAGCATAATCAAATTACTATATGATAAAAGTTAGGATAAGAAACAATAAGGATGTTAATAATTAAGATTATTAGTTCAATCTTATGCAATAAATGGAAAAGAATTGTTAATTAAATAAATAATAGAAACTTTAAAAATAAAATTTACAACTTCATCTTAATTGTACTTAAAAAGATAGGGAATGTATGCAATATAAACGGTGGCAGAAATATTAGTGAAAGAAGTAATTGGAATATTGATAAATAGTATCCATAATTAGCTGAGAGATGCGTTAAAGATTTAACATCACCAATTTTAGAATGTTTAAATGATAAAGAAGATAAGGCTAGATAATATGCAGTTGAATGCTTACTACAATTAACAAAGATAATGAGAACAATGATACTTTTGAATTTTAATGAGATATTTGATTATTAATTAGGTAGATCAGCAGAATAAGATAGTTAAATTGTTTAAGCAATGCTTTTGTTGGATGCTCAACTAAAAACTCAAGTATAAATAGCTGTTTAGGAGAAACTTAATGACCCTGGAAAACAATGCTATTTTAACTTAAACTCTTTTATGATTTAGTTATAAAGTAAATTGAAGACAAGAGTAACTTATGTTAGATAATTTCTACTTGGATGGATTAAAGTTTTAAATCAATGTCATAATAATGATTTATACATTTATTTTCCAATGATTTTAGAAGGTATATTTATGATGTTAGGAGAATCAAACAAGTAAAATAAAACAATACAATTAGGGAAGTTCGAAGTGGTGCTGATGTTTAAGCTAATGAATTCATGAAATAAGTAGAAGTCAAAGTTAACGTAGATTAGAAAGTTAATGAATAAATTATTGAGATTTTACTTAAAATTTGTTAAATGAAAGGAAATCAAAATAATTATGCTAAATTAAATTCTTTGTTATGGATATTTGAATATTTAAGAGTATTTTAATAAGAGTTAGAAGAGGAACAAAAAGGAAAGTTAGGATTATAGCATTCACCCTCTAATGCAGTAAGGCCAGAAGAATATATGAGAAGTAATACATCTCCTATTTCTAAAAATTCAATGCAATAATATTATGGAGGATTCGAATCACCATTAAGAAAAACAATATTAAACAGTTTAAGTTAAATATTAGGTCCAATCCTTATTTTACTTTCTCATGAAGAAGAAGAAATTAGAAAGGCAGCTTAAAAAACAAATGAGTTATTATTAAAAGTTATGGATCGAGTAAAAAATTAATCAGTTGAATTTATGAATATTGTACCAACAATTAAAGAGATGCTTACTGATAAAAAAAACAATACCGCTGAATCTGCATTAATATGGATGAAACACTTATTAGAAATATATTCTGAGTCACTATTTCCAACAATTGAAGATATATTAACAAAAGTATTTATTATTAAATATATATTTAGTTAATTGATAAATTAGCAGATTCAGAATCAGCTATAGTGTAAAATATTATGGATGTTTTAGCAAATATATCAATTCATAATCAATATTTTGAAATAGTGATTGACAAAATATTGATAATGCTACATAAGAATCAAGATTAATAAGAAAAGAAAGGGGATTAAATATTTAAGAAACTATGTTCACTTCTTAATCCATAATAAGTTTATTTCACAATAACGGCAAAATTATTGGAAATATACTCAGATAATGATGTGTTATTTATTAGTAATACTGTTTAAGCGTTAACTAATTTATTAATTTCAGAAAAAGAATTATAAAATCTTAGAAATATACTTAGAAATCTAAAACATGAAAAAGATGAAAAATAAAGGTAGAATAATTAAGAAATATTTGAGACTCTTTATAGAACATTCTGCTATAATTCAATGAGTGTAATCACTCTATGTTTATTATCTGAAGAATATGAATTGGCTTATAATATTATTATTAGTTTTTCAGAAGTGGAAGTCAATTAATATATTTTATTAGAAATAGCTCAATTAATTAATGTTCTAGAAACACCAGTATTCATTTGTAATATCAATNTTAGAAGGTATATTTATGATGTTAGGAGAATCAAACAAGTAAAATAAAACAATACAATTAGGGAAGTTCGAAGTGGTGCTGATGTTTAAGCTAATGAATTCATGAAATAAGTAGAAGTCAAAGTTAACGTAGATTAGAAAGTTAATGAATAAATTATTGAGATTTTACTTAAAATTTGTTAAATGAAAGGAAATCAAAATAATTATGCTAAATTAAATTCTTTGTTATGGATATTTGAATATTTAAGAGTATTTTAATAAGAGTTAGAAGAGGAACAAAAAGGAAAGTTAGGATTATAGCATTCACCCTCTAATGCAGTAAGGCCAGAAGAATATATGAGAAGTAATACATCTCCTATTTCTAAAAATTCAATGCAATAATATTATGGAGGATTCGAATCACCATTAAGAAAAACAATATTAAACAGTTTAAGTTAAATATTAGGTCCAATCCTTATTTTACTTTCTCATGAAGAAGAAGAAATTAGAAAGGCAGCTTAAAAAACAAATGAGTTATTATTAAAAGTTATGGATCGAGTAAAAAATTAATCAGTTGAATTTATGAATATTGTACCAACAATTAAAGAGATGCTTACTGATAAAAAAAACAATACCGCTGAATCTGCATTAATATGGATGAAACACTTATTAGAAATATATTCTGAGTCACTATTTCCAACAATTGAAGATATATTAACAAAAGTATTTATTATTAAATATATATTTAGTTAATTGATAAATTAGCAGATTCAGAATCAGCTATAGTGTAAAATATTATGGATGTTTTAGCAAATATATCAATTCATAATCAATATTTTGAAATAGTGATTGACAAAATATTGATAATGCTACATAAGAATCAAGATTAATAAGAAAAGAAAGGGGATTAAATATTTAAGAAACTATGTTCACTTCTTAATCCATAATAAGTTTATTTCACAATAACGGCAAAATTATTGGAAATATACTCAGATAATGATGTGTTATTTATTAGTAATACTGTTTAAGCGTTAACTAATTTATTAATTTCAGAAAAAGAATTATAAAATCTTAGAAATATACTTAGAAATCTAAAACATGAAAAAGATGAAAAATAAAGGTAGAATAATTAAGAAATATTTGAGACTCTTTATAGAACATTCTGCTATAATTCAATGAGTGTAATCACTCTATGTTTATTATCTGAAGAATATGAATTGGCTTATAATATTATTATTAGTTTTTCAGAAGTGGAAGTCAATTAATATATTTTATTAGAAATAGCTCAATTAATTAATGTTCTAGAAACACCAGTATTCATTTGTAATATCAATAAATATTTAAGTTTTAAGGTTACAATTATTAGAGTATGATTCTCATCCTTTTTTAATGAAGTGTTTGTTTGGATTGATGATGCTTTTGCCTTAAGGACCAGCCTTTAATACTTTAAGACATAGACTAAAGAATGTTTCTAATGCACAAATCTAATCATTATAATAGGAAAAAAAAATGGAAACAGAAGAGTTCTTGGATATTTAAAAATTACTCACATAATTTAGAGATATTCGTCTCTAATGTATTAATTAGGAATCAAAATAAAAGGATTTAAATTGATTAATATTTTTATAATATCATTCATTAAATAATTATATAATCTATTTACTTAATTCGCTTAATGTAGAATATTCATTTAAATATCCTCCAAAATGATCACACGAAAAAACTACTTTCTCATTTTCCAAGTTCTCTTAATTAATTTCAATTTATCTTGAATATCTTTGAGAATAATGAGTCAATGTAATCACGTTTGCATTAGCTATCATACCTATTTTGATTGCTTCAGAAATAGTAGAGTGCATATTTTAAAGTGCATTTTCTTATAAATCGTCTGTAAAAGTTGATTCATGAATAAGAACATCAACATTTTTTGATAATTTTGCAAATTTATCACATGGTCTTGTATCCCCAGAATAAGATATAGATCTTCCATCACATAAATTTAATCTTACTCCATAAGATTATGGGCAATGTTCCACAGGTGTAACTTTTATTGAATCTAATTCAAATTAGTCTTTTAAACAATCTAAAAGATCTTTATAATTTTTATAGAAATTCTATTCATTTTCAATTTAAACTTAATCACCTTATCTTATTCTACATTAATTAAAACAATCTATTATAAGTTAGTTTATATCATCTTTAAATTCTTCATCAAACTATTGTGATACAATAATTTTCCAATTACGCTATTCTCCTAAAATTTACTGAAAATACATTAGCCAAGGCACTACAATTGCTGGTACTATTAAATATATGTCCTTTTGGCTATTACGTAAATTATATGTTATCTGTAATAAGCCTAAATGATGATCACTATGTGCATGACTAATCCAAATAATCAATGGTTTATTATTAAGCATTATTTTTTCATCTGTTATCTATTTATAAGTTCCTTCTCCACAATCTAAAATTATATTTGAATTCAATTTTTCATTCATCAAAATTATCCCAGAAACATTTCTTAATTATCCAGGTTTCATTGAGCATGTACCTAAAAAAATCAATCTCAAATGATCATTGCCCTTTTATAATAATTATTTTTCTTTATTTTAAAATTTAACGTTTTTAAACATTTGAAATATATCTTTTGGTTAGTAGTTTTAAACTGGTTTATAACCTTATTATTTTACAGGAAGTATTAAGTATTCAAAAAGAGGGACATAACCAAAAATCTAATTTATTTTGATTAAGTCTTTTGGTATTGGAGCTAATGTTTATTATTCAATAAGTGGAAAAGTAGATGGAAACTGTTCATGCAATAAATTTGACAATAACTCAGATAAAGGCTGAATTTTCATATGGGTTTAAACAACCTAATCATTTGTTTCATTTTTATAGTTACACAATACATGATTGATATTTGAGTGCTTTTAAATAAAATCAATATAGTATTGTTCCTAAATTTCATGCGATAAATGAAATATTGCAACTAAATTACTTTATTTCTTATTAAATTACTCAAAAGTTCTAACCAAATCTTGATGCTNATTAATTAGGAATCAAAATAAAAGGATTTAAATTGATTAATATTTTTATAATATCATTCATTAAATAATTATATAATCTATTTACTTAATTCGCTTAATGTAGAATATTCATTTAAATATCCTCCAAAATGATCACACGAAAAAACTACTTTCTCATTTTCCAAGTTCTCTTAATTAATTTCAATTTATCTTGAATATCTTTGAGAATAATGAGTCAATGTAATCACGTTTGCATTAGCTATCATACCTATTTTGATTGCTTCAGAAATAGTAGAGTGCATATTTTAAAGTGCATTTTCTTATAAATCGTCTGTAAAAGTTGATTCATGAATAAGAACATCAACATTTTTTGATAATTTTGCAAATTTATCACATGGTCTTGTATCCCCAGAATAAGATATAGATCTTCCATCACATAAATTTAATCTTACTCCATAAGATTATGGGCAATGTTCCACAGGTGTAACTTTTATTGAATCTAATTCAAATTAGTCTTTTAAACAATCTAAAAGATCTTTATAATTTTTATAGAAATTCTATTCATTTTCAATTTAAACTTAATCACCTTATCTTATTCTACATTAATTAAAACAATCTATTATAAGTTAGTTTATATCATCTTTAAATTCTTCATCAAACTATTGTGATACAATAATTTTCCAATTACGCTATTCTCCTAAAATTTACTGAAAATACATTAGCCAAGGCACTACAATTGCTGGTACTATTAAATATATGTCCTTTTGGCTATTACGTAAATTATATGTTATCTGTAATAAGCCTAAATGATGATCACTATGTGCATGACTAATCCAAATAATCAATGGTTTATTATTAAGCATTATTTTTTCATCTGTTATCTATTTATAAGTTCCTTCTCCACAATCTAAAATTATATTTGAATTCAATTTTTCATTCATCAAAATTATCCCAGAAACATTTCTTAATTATCCAGGTTTCATTGAGCATGTACCTAAAAAAATCAATCTCAAATGATCATTGCCCTTTTATAATAATTATTTTTCTTTATTTTAAAATTTAACGTTTTTAAACATTTGAAATATATCTTTTGGTTAGTAGTTTTAAACTGGTTTATAACCTTATTATTTTACAGGAAGTATTAAGTATTCAAAAAGAGGGACATAACCAAAAATCTAATTTATTTTGATTAAGTCTTTTGGTATTGGAGCTAATGTTTATTATTCAATAAGTGGAAAAGTAGATGGAAACTGTTCATGCAATAAATTTGACAATAACTCAGATAAAGGCTGAATTTTCATATGGGTTTAAACAACCTAATCATTTGTTTCATTTTTATAGTTACACAATACATGATTGATATTTGAGTGCTTTTAAATAAAATCAATATAGTATTGTTCCTAAATTTCATGCGATAAATGAAATATTGCAACTAAATTACTTTATTTCTTATTAAATTACTCAAAAGTTCTAACCAAATCTTGATGCTCCATCAGTTTTTGCATTTATTCTTAATTTGCAATATCTAAAATAATTACTGTCTATGGAATCACTTCTGGTTCCTTTACCTAATCTATTGTTACAATATCACCATTTTCCAAAGTAACTTAACCATTTTTAGACAATTCCTACATTTTATTTCCAGGTACATTAAATTATTTTAACTACTCTTTGATAAAGTTACCTGGTTAAGTAAATGATGATATTATATATTAGATGGTATCATTTATTTCGATTGCTTATATTTTTACATTTTCATCTTTAAAAATAGTAGGACTTTACATGTAAATAGCGGCATTATTTGATTCTTTTGGATCGATAACATGTTCTTTTATTTTTTCAAGATATTCTTATAATTTACAATCGTTTTATTAAAGTAATTCTTCAATTAATTTTGTATCTTTGGTTCCCAATAAACATTTTCCATTAAATTCTTAAACTGAATAGGGTAGGGTTTTAAATCCCCCTATTTCATTATATCTTTTCATATTGATTAATTTGTATAATCCTTTAGGTCCATACATTTTTGTATTGATACCGCAATTTTATGCTAATAATGTTGATAAATATCCGAAGCATCCAGTTGTTGTCTATGTGCTTAATCTTGTGAAAAATATTCTAGGTCCTGGGTTGATTTTCACATAATTGTCTTTAGTAAATCTTTAAAATCCATCAGGGAGATTGAAAATATATCGAATATTATCGAAGGAGCAGATTAAGTTTGGAGTTTCTTGATTTTTAATAATTTAAAATGAAAATCTCACCATAATTAATATAGCAATAGATTTAATAAAAAGTAAATAATAACCATTATTTATATATATATAAATAAGGGAATCAAATAATTCTAGTTTTACTATGAACCTTAAGATAATTGCCTTATTCATTTTAATCAATTTCATATATTTCAATTACTTTCTATCTACATAGAAAGCACTCCTTAGTTTTTTATGCACTTGCATAAGCACATTCAAAACATATTCCACCATGACCACATTTCATTAATACTGCATTGGCTTATTTTTCACAGCATATTATACATTAATTGTTGACAGTTTGAGTTTTTTAACTTTCATGAATTATATCAGTTTTCTACTTTGACTTTTTTATTCTTTTGATTTCCTAATTAACATCTCTAATTATGTTTTATGATAAATTATTGGCTCTTTCTGTAAAGAGTTCTTCTTTATTAGTATTAGCATACATTAAGAATTCTTAACAAGTTACTAAACGAAAATACGAGGAAGATAATTTTTTTAAAAATATTGGAGATTTTAAATTTTATTTGATTCTGATTTCATCCATTTTAGGACTAGATGGAAGTTCCCTTTATTAGAAATCTGCATTTAGAAGTTGAGTAAAAAATATGGATATATCTTAAAAAATAATTAAAGTTCCTGCAAATACAACCAAATTGAATGCAATAATGATGCTAAAAATAATAATCCCAATTTCTATTTGTAGATTCATTCCAAGAAGATTGAATGTATTAATTATCCATATGCCAGATAAGATGCTGGTCATCGAAAATAGATAAAAGGACCAAAACAAAGTTTTATCTATATAACAAATGATATTTTACATTCATTTGAATGGAGAGATATTCTATGGTAGTAGAATTAATTAATTAATTTAGAAATTAGGATCATTAATATTGTGAAAGCACTTCCAATAAGTGCACTTAAGTACATCCAATACCACCAGAAAGTTTAAGACCAAGTCCAATTAACTAATTGATTCAGTTTAATTGTTACACATAATGAAGCAATTAATACTGATATGCTATAAAAGCCTTGAAGCTAAAAAATTAATATCGTTTTATTACATATCTAAAGATAGTTGAATATTCATGCTATTAATCTTATTGACAACTCCATTTAATTCCAAGGAATGTTGTAAATACAACAAATAAATTAACAAAAATGTAGTAATACAGATCGATATAATACAGAATTAATATAAAAATGCCAGCCAAAATTTGAAGTAAATGTTGCAGTGATAAAATTAAATTTCTTTTAGAATGGCAAATCAAACAAATAACTTCTTGGATAATCAGTAATCCTATAGGTAGAGCAAATGGAAGTAAATCATATTAAAATAAGGAGAATACCAAAGCAAATACGTTGTAATAGGTATACTTGAAACAGAAATATCTTAGTGCCAGATCTATTTCCTCTCTTAATTATGATGACAAACTTACTTTTGCATATATTGAATAATTTTAAAAATTAGAATATTACCTTGCAATCAATGTTTATATTTATTTATATATGAATAAAATTGAAGATGAACATCAGATGATCATTAGATAAATTTAAGGAGTATCTTTTGCCTCTGAAATGCACGATAGAGATGAAAAGCAAATCCACAAAGAATTAGTTAGAATAATATTGAAGGAAGATAAAAGACTGAAAGCCAAGCATACATTATTTAGTCTAGCTAATACAATTCTAATTGTATTATTATCAGATATTTCAAGTTATTATCAATATACAATATGATATCACTAGTAAACATAGAAGCCTATCACTCTTTTATATATTATGAAGAATTACAATAGAATCCCGAAAACTTTGGGATTCTTTATTATTTAGTTTTGTTAGATATCATTCACTTCTTGAGAATAATTAATTGTTGTAATGGAATATTTGGAGCAGAGCTGAAATCTCAAAAAATAGTCACTTTTTATTTGATATTTTCGTCATTTCTTTTTGTATCTCGTAGTGTATTGACAATCATTACGATAATCAGCTATGCATAGATTCACACTTTATGTTCTTAATTCTTTACAGAACAAGATGCAGATGTTTTAGCTCTCAACTATTGTCTGGTGATGGCAACGTTTCTGTTTTTTGATGCCCTCTTCACTATGATCTGTATTGTCTAAGGATCCAATAATAGAGAAAACTAGTAAAGTAATTACTAAATGCATTTTAGTTGCTAATGAACTCAAACAAAAGATTCAAAAGAAGTACTTCATTTGTTATGAAAATGCTCTAAATTCATTTTTTTGAATTTATTTAAAGTGTATATGGCAGCAATTTAATAACTAATTTTTGTTTCTTATATTGATCAATTCTGTTTATTTTATTTACCTATTGAGAAAGAAATATCCAGAGTGTTAGACTTAAATAATGTGATTGAGTTTAAAGATTTTGTGATAATTGGAGAAATTTTTAGAAATATCTTGGGAAATATTGTATTTTTTATAAAAAAAATTAAAAATTATAATATCTCCTTTGTTATTAATTCCCTAACCGAAATGATCCTATCAAAAAAATGATTAGCCTGAATTTGTGTGATCACTTAATCATGGTTTAAAATTGCCAAAATCATTTGATTATAAATTCTTGAAAATATTTTGGTTGCAAATCATATCCCCTTAATAAAACTAAAAATAGAAAAATTTAAATTAATCCAGGAGCAAGTTTTGAATTTGATGAAATATTTTAAAATGATTAAAAATTAAAAAATTATAAAATAATTGGTAATATAGTCAATCACCTAATAATTTTAAGCTGAGAGACATTCATTTTCTATTTTAATTGGATTTAAATAGTTAATCTAAATAATTGTGATCTAGTTTTCTTGCTTATTGTTTCTTCCACATCGTATGTTTTAGCTTAAGCTTTAGTTATTGATACTAAGACATATGATAAAATGAAAAGATTGTTAAAAAATAATTAATTATCTTTTCGAAAAATAAATCTAAGTGGTTATTCTAATCAATTAAATTGGTCAAACGTTAAAAAATTAAATTTCCTTCAGTACAATATTCTGAAAAGCATTTGAATGATTTTATTCATAAACAATTCTCATTTAAAGATTTAAATTAATAAGCTTCTTAGACTTAGTTGATAAAAGTAATTAAAATGACAAATTTTATGATATGCTTATAATCTATTGAAAAAAGATTTTATTATTTTTTTCTTTACTAAAGAATTAGAGAGTTATTATGATTGGTTAAGATAGTATTTCAAATAATTTAAAATAAATGCCTTTCTTTCTTCTAAATGATGTAACTAAATAATTAATTACAATGTTGTTTATAATGCTAAATTCTTTTTTTCTTTGGTTATTGTATAAATGTAGACACGGATCTGATTAGTAATTATTTGATACATCAAGAACTACAATATTGATTGTTGCATCCGAGTTTAGTAAATTGATGATTATTTCAGTAAAAATAATACAATAACCTAAATTCGAAAACTTCAAATATTTTTCATTTATGAAACTTAATAGTTAAAGAGATTGAACTTATAAAAGAGTCTGTGATAAGTTAAAATATAAAATTTGTTTAACTTGAGGTGATTTTAAATAAGTTATAAATTAAATCTATTATCAAAACACANGCTAATGAACTCAAACAAAAGATTCAAAAGAAGTACTTCATTTGTTATGAAAATGCTCTAAATTCATTTTTTTGAATTTATTTAAAGTGTATATGGCAGCAATTTAATAACTAATTTTTGTTTCTTATATTGATCAATTCTGTTTATTTTATTTACCTATTGAGAAAGAAATATCCAGAGTGTTAGACTTAAATAATGTGATTGAGTTTAAAGATTTTGTGATAATTGGAGAAATTTTTAGAAATATCTTGGGAAATATTGTATTTTTTATAAAAAAAATTAAAAATTATAATATCTCCTTTGTTATTAATTCCCTAACCGAAATGATCCTATCAAAAAAATGATTAGCCTGAATTTGTGTGATCACTTAATCATGGTTTAAAATTGCCAAAATCATTTGATTATAAATTCTTGAAAATATTTTGGTTGCAAATCATATCCCCTTAATAAAACTAAAAATAGAAAAATTTAAATTAATCCAGGAGCAAGTTTTGAATTTGATGAAATATTTTAAAATGATTAAAAATTAAAAAATTATAAAATAATTGGTAATATAGTCAATCACCTAATAATTTTAAGCTGAGAGACATTCATTTTCTATTTTAATTGGATTTAAATAGTTAATCTAAATAATTGTGATCTAGTTTTCTTGCTTATTGTTTCTTCCACATCGTATGTTTTAGCTTAAGCTTTAGTTATTGATACTAAGACATATGATAAAATGAAAAGATTGTTAAAAAATAATTAATTATCTTTTCGAAAAATAAATCTAAGTGGTTATTCTAATCAATTAAATTGGTCAAACGTTAAAAAATTAAATTTCCTTCAGTACAATATTCTGAAAAGCATTTGAATGATTTTATTCATAAACAATTCTCATTTAAAGATTTAAATTAATAAGCTTCTTAGACTTAGTTGATAAAAGTAATTAAAATGACAAATTTTATGATATGCTTATAATCTATTGAAAAAAGATTTTATTATTTTTTTCTTTACTAAAGAATTAGAGAGTTATTATGATTGGTTAAGATAGTATTTCAAATAATTTAAAATAAATGCCTTTCTTTCTTCTAAATGATGTAACTAAATAATTAATTACAATGTTGTTTATAATGCTAAATTCTTTTTTTCTTTGGTTATTGTATAAATGTAGACACGGATCTGATTAGTAATTATTTGATACATCAAGAACTACAATATTGATTGTTGCATCCGAGTTTAGTAAATTGATGATTATTTCAGTAAAAATAATACAATAACCTAAATTCGAAAACTTCAAATATTTTTCATTTATGAAACTTAATAGTTAAAGAGATTGAACTTATAAAAGAGTCTGTGATAAGTTAAAATATAAAATTTGTTTAACTTGAGGTGATTTTAAATAAGTTATAAATTAAATCTATTATCAAAACACATTAAGTTATTTAGTTTCTTAATTATTAGGAGGAATACTGAAAAAGAATAAGACTAATAGTACTTGTAAATATTGATGAATAAAATTAATATATTATTTGAATTTATCATTAAATACCCTTATATACAAATTTAAGTACTATTATATAAATTAAACAGAAATGAGGAAATTTTTGTAATTTTATTTATATTTTAATGTTCAATCAATCTACCAAAAGTTATTGGTTTTTAATATTTCTCTTGTATTTATATCTAAAAATACAAAAAAGAATTGCTGCAAGTGCGCATACTCCACCTATGATAAGTAAAATTGCCCACAAAGGAAAAGTTTTCTTTTCTTCATCGTCAGGTGTTGGAGGAATCGGTGGAGTAGGAGGATCTGGAGGAGAAGGAGGATCTGGAGGAGTTGGAGGATCTGGAGGAGTTGGAGGATCTGGAGGTTTAGGATTATCATCACTGATGGAAATTTTTAGGCTAATTTATGTAGTTGAATATGGATTGCTTAAAGCAAATTTGACTATTTGATTTACTTCCTTACTATTTATACAAAGCTATGGAGTTCGATCTAACAAATAAAGGTATAATGAATTTTTATTTTTTGCATTTGAAAGTAGATATAATTAATCATCGTATTGATAGACAAAAGACTAAATAGGATAGAAACCTTATTTCTTGGGACTATAAGTAGCAGTTAAATGAGCAATAATAGTGTATGGTTCCTTTTTATTTTTTTTGTAATTCTTTAGATCATATATAAAGAGTTCTGAATAAGTTTCAGCCCTAAAAATTAAAGATAAAATTTCGTTTGAGTAATAACCAATTGGATATTAATCAGATATCATCCAAGATCCAAATTATTAAAAAATACGATATAATTCAAATTGCTAAACTAAACAAGTATTATCAGTAGAACAATTATTTATAAACAAAAATGAATATGATGCAGTATTAGAAAATATTAAAATAATTTAACTTTCTGTTAAAAAAAATCCAACACAAACAGAATCGGGTTTTAAAAACAGATTCTCCATTTTTAAATAAAAATTAATATCAAAGGTTTGACTTAAATTATATGACTAAGTTTTGGAAATTTATTTTGTATAAAATTCAACATTTCCCTAATGGGTTGCAGATATAAATTAATAGTAATTATCTTTTATGTGAATCATATCTACAAATAAAGCTTGATCACTGACAGAAAATTCATCAAATAATAAAAATTATGAAACATTTAAAGGTTAGTTATTTATATCAAAAACTTTGATATGTCTATTCTTTATATAAAAAAAATTCTGTTAATGAAGATATGCTTTTTCAGGTCGATCTTGTAATTATAATTTTTCTTTCAATAATTCACAAATTTATTTTTAACATTAAATTACTCTTAAAAAAACTTAATTATCCATCAAAGCTTCTACATATAAATGGTCTTTTTCAATAAAAAATATATTTGTAAATGTGTATGTTTCATCCAATTAATATTCAAAACTCTTAGATAAATCTGACTTTGAAAATAATATAATTTTATGAGTCCAGAGCTAAACGATAGTTTTATCATTAAACTCTTTGATTATTGGACTGACTTCTAAGATATCTACCTATTAAAATAGAGTTTTAAGATATTTTAATTTATCAAGTCCATCAATTTAATTTATTTCAAAAGCTTAACCACTATACCATGATTCATTCAAACTTAAACAATGAATTTCAACTTTATCTGAATGATAAGTTAAATTTACTGATTCTAGGGTTCTAAACATTTTAATTCCTCTATTAATAATAAATGCTGGACTATTATCTATAATCTTGATCTAAGCATTGTTAGTGACTGAAAAATTTAAATTAATTTTTTAGGAATACTCAATTTAATTATAATCTTATTTAATTTAAAACTATATAAAGTAATCCCCATTTATGTAATAATTTTTAAGGATTTACTGATTATCAATTACTTCTGTAGTGATGAAATAATTACTGGTTGTAGAAAATTAAACAGCTTCAACAGTATCTATTTTTAAAAACATGGAATTCAAACAAATTTCACTGATTTTATAAATTTAGATTTCTTGAGATTTAGCTGAATTCTTTTAGGCTAAAACATATATAAAATTTGTCTTAATGTTTATTTATATTGAAGATAAATCAAATTTATATTGACCATCCAAATCTAATTTCTTCTCAAAGTAAATGTTATTTAAGTTTTCTATATTATATACATCAGCACTATAAAATTCTTCATTTTTCATTCGAATGAATCTAACAAAATGAGTTGAAGAAATAAGTAAATTTCTCTCAACAAAATCATTTCTAATCTCAGTAAACCATATTAAAGTGATTNGGATTATCATCACTGATGGAAATTTTTAGGCTAATTTATGTAGTTGAATATGGATTGCTTAAAGCAAATTTGACTATTTGATTTACTTCCTTACTATTTATACAAAGCTATGGAGTTCGATCTAACAAATAAAGGTATAATGAATTTTTATTTTTTGCATTTGAAAGTAGATATAATTAATCATCGTATTGATAGACAAAAGACTAAATAGGATAGAAACCTTATTTCTTGGGACTATAAGTAGCAGTTAAATGAGCAATAATAGTGTATGGTTCCTTTTTATTTTTTTTGTAATTCTTTAGATCATATATAAAGAGTTCTGAATAAGTTTCAGCCCTAAAAATTAAAGATAAAATTTCGTTTGAGTAATAACCAATTGGATATTAATCAGATATCATCCAAGATCCAAATTATTAAAAAATACGATATAATTCAAATTGCTAAACTAAACAAGTATTATCAGTAGAACAATTATTTATAAACAAAAATGAATATGATGCAGTATTAGAAAATATTAAAATAATTTAACTTTCTGTTAAAAAAAATCCAACACAAACAGAATCGGGTTTTAAAAACAGATTCTCCATTTTTAAATAAAAATTAATATCAAAGGTTTGACTTAAATTATATGACTAAGTTTTGGAAATTTATTTTGTATAAAATTCAACATTTCCCTAATGGGTTGCAGATATAAATTAATAGTAATTATCTTTTATGTGAATCATATCTACAAATAAAGCTTGATCACTGACAGAAAATTCATCAAATAATAAAAATTATGAAACATTTAAAGGTTAGTTATTTATATCAAAAACTTTGATATGTCTATTCTTTATATAAAAAAAATTCTGTTAATGAAGATATGCTTTTTCAGGTCGATCTTGTAATTATAATTTTTCTTTCAATAATTCACAAATTTATTTTTAACATTAAATTACTCTTAAAAAAACTTAATTATCCATCAAAGCTTCTACATATAAATGGTCTTTTTCAATAAAAAATATATTTGTAAATGTGTATGTTTCATCCAATTAATATTCAAAACTCTTAGATAAATCTGACTTTGAAAATAATATAATTTTATGAGTCCAGAGCTAAACGATAGTTTTATCATTAAACTCTTTGATTATTGGACTGACTTCTAAGATATCTACCTATTAAAATAGAGTTTTAAGATATTTTAATTTATCAAGTCCATCAATTTAATTTATTTCAAAAGCTTAACCACTATACCATGATTCATTCAAACTTAAACAATGAATTTCAACTTTATCTGAATGATAAGTTAAATTTACTGATTCTAGGGTTCTAAACATTTTAATTCCTCTATTAATAATAAATGCTGGACTATTATCTATAATCTTGATCTAAGCATTGTTAGTGACTGAAAAATTTAAATTAATTTTTTAGGAATACTCAATTTAATTATAATCTTATTTAATTTAAAACTATATAAAGTAATCCCCATTTATGTAATAATTTTTAAGGATTTACTGATTATCAATTACTTCTGTAGTGATGAAATAATTACTGGTTGTAGAAAATTAAACAGCTTCAACAGTATCTATTTTTAAAAACATGGAATTCAAACAAATTTCACTGATTTTATAAATTTAGATTTCTTGAGATTTAGCTGAATTCTTTTAGGCTAAAACATATATAAAATTTGTCTTAATGTTTATTTATATTGAAGATAAATCAAATTTATATTGACCATCCAAATCTAATTTCTTCTCAAAGTAAATGTTATTTAAGTTTTCTATATTATATACATCAGCACTATAAAATTCTTCATTTTTCATTCGAATGAATCTAACAAAATGAGTTGAAGAAATAAGTAAATTTCTCTCAACAAAATCATTTCTAATCTCAGTAAACCATATTAAAGTGATTTTTTCATATTCTATTGAATATATATAAAGAGTATCATCAGTTTCAACAAAAAGTAAATCATTTTGAGCAGTCGAGGAATAAATTTATCCTACTTCCTAAATTTTAGTGATATATTTTGCTTTATTTTATCTGCTTATCTTATAAATTAGAATAGATTTCTCTGTCTATATAAATAAGTGAAGTCCATCAGTAACAATTTTTTAAACTTTCTCATCTTAGGTTAATTCTATTAGTTCTTCAAATTATTATGCTTCAGATTAAATGCAATAAATTATAACAGAATAGAATTTTTAGATGGCTAGGAATAAAGAGTCTTTATTGATCCACCAAATTTCGTTTTCAGAATTCGTTAATTTTTAAAATGCTTTACTTTTGAAATTCCTTTAACAAGTTAGATTAGTATCATTATTTTATTAACAAATGTATCCACTCAATTATAAATTTTTTTCTTATTATATCAATTAGACAAGAGATGAATTAATTTGTGAAAATATTTTCCTATAAATTATCTCCTAAGTTTCTAAAACTTCATCTATTTTAAAATGCTTTAACTTTTCAACATTTAGATCAATAATGTTATTAGGTTAAAAATGATATTATAGATTTGATCCCTAAAATACAGGTAGAAATTTAACTTAAGGATCATCTAAATTAATGCTATCAGAGATTAATCCAGAAGATTCTTACTAATAAAATATGTTTTTAGATTGAATTTCTACAACTTTATAAAATACTTTTACTTTACAAGTGGAATTCTAACTTACAATTACACTAGAATAATCATCCATAATAGGAATATTGAGTGAAGAAAATTATAATGATTATTCATTATTAATCACAAAATGCTTAAATTATGTATTGCTTATCAATAAGAATCCATTTTAATATGGATTGGTTGAAATATAAAACTATGAATCCTCTAATTGATAGGTGTAAATTTTTTCTAATTTTTATGAATAAAGTATTATGCTTTGATCCTCGAATAAAATAATCCAGTCCTTTTATAAATACACTTGTGATTAAGAATTTAGAGTTAAAGGTATTGTAAATTGCTAATTATTTTAAGATTTAAAATAAAGTTCTGTTTGTGAATAGATCACATAGGCATTTGTATATATATCGTAATCGTAGCCATATCCATCAGATATTTAGGTTTGAATGTAGGAAATTAATTCCCATAAATTATTATTAAATTTAATTAAAATTATCTCACCTGATTTATTTAACAAACTTACTTACATATCAGTATGTGTCTAAAAATTAATTATTTGTAATTAAAAGGATTCTTTCTGTAGCAATTATTACATTTTTTGTGAATCAAGAGTACTTAGATGTTAAATTAATCCATCTTATTATGAGTAAACTTCTAATTTATCCTCTGTTCCTCTGAAAAGGTAATTGTCAATTAAGTCTAATTTTCGAAGGCCTTAGTTAAACTTACTTATAGGTAGATAGGTAAATAAGCCAGTTGCAATAGAGTAAATACTGAAAAAATCTTCTTATTCATCATTACATTCTGTAATTATTAAAATATCTATCTAGGCAATGTCAAAACACTATTTTTCCTTTTGAAAAGTTGGTTGTATCACTTCAATTAGGGGTATAGTAGAGTATAGATTAGAATTTAATCCAAAATAATACTATTCTTCACTCTTACGTAAGATTGTCATCATATGGATTGGATTTCGACTTTTTGTGGATTTTTACATTTTGAAGGATATTGTTTAAGTATTTGACAATCCATCAATATCAAACTATTCCAACAATTATAAAGGACCAGCAACTTAAATCTCATTTGTTTTAGGGGTTATAGTTATGGAATCAAAATTTGTGTCAATAAAGAGCTACTTTAGTGGAATTTTAATCACTTCATTGACAGTTGAAGTGATATAAAATTTTTTACTCACTATTTTAGAGCAAGAATCAATAACAACGATGAGAGTGTATAACACTAAAATCATAAATTTCATCATATTTAATTTCTACTTATCATAAAAAGATTTCAATTAAAATAAATGTTTCTAATTATATTAATATTTATTCATATCATATATTTCAGATTGCTAAATTATCTAACTAAAGATTACCTCTTTTATGTAATTTTGGAAAATTATGCTTAAATGGATATTTGTTTATAAATATTTTATTTGATTAGTTAAAATTAACTATTTTTTATATATTCTGCTAAAACTGGTTCATCTTATTGCTTCTGGATAAATGGCTTTAAAATAACTCTCTACAAAAATAATTTTGGTACATTACATATAACATTTTCTTAAATGTGAGAATCAATAAATTCTTTTAAAAGAATTTAATTAAACAAAAATTGTTTCTTTAATTAATCTTTTTAAATTCTTTATAAATCAAATATGCATCTAAGTACATTACAAACTTTGTTAAAAGCATTTAGAAAAATTAAGAAATGATGATAATAAACGAAAATTCCATTCAATAAATATAATTTATAGTGTATAGAAATATATTAAATATAACATTTATTTAATTAAACATTTTATATTTATTTTACATATAATTGTTTAATTTTTTATTATCTATTCCGAATAATTAAATTTATATCACTCTAAAACCATTAAAAACAGTTTAAAGCAATTTAGTTTAATTTCAATACTGAAAATTTAAACTTAAAAAAAATTATCTTTCTGTAAAAAATGGATTCGTTATAAATTTAAAATCAACTCTTTTTTTGGTAATTTAAACTTCATTAATTAAAGAAACAATTTTTGTTTAATTAAATTCTTTTAAAAGAATTTATTGATTCTCACATTTAAGAAAATGTTATATGTAATGTACCAAAATTATTTTTGTAGAGAGTTATTTTAAAGCCATTTATCCAGAAGCAATAAGATGAACCAGTTTTAGCAGAATATATAAAAAATAGTTAATTTTAACTAATCAAATAAAATATTTATAAACAAATATCCATTTAAGCATAATTTTCCAAAATTACATAAAAGAGGTAATCTTTAGTTAGATAATTTA